AACCCCATGGTGGTATGCTTTTGGAAAAAAATTGCAAAAAAAGAATTGGTCTAACCGGTCAAACCGATCGGTTTGTCTAAAAGGGTGACATATTAGCTCGCCACATGTCGCGCTTTAACTTTGCCAAATGTCACCACATCAGCTCGCCACATGTCGTGCTTTAGCTCTGCCAAATGTCACGTTCTTATAGCTCCGACTCTGCTTTATATATATAAAGGATTACAAAAAATAATAGAATGTGGAGTATTAGTAAAAAGAACTGGTAAACCGATCGGTTTGTCTAAAAGGGTGACATATTAGCTCGCCATATGTCGCGCTTTAACTTTGCCAAATGTCACCACATCAGCTCGCCACATGTCGTGCTTTAGCTCTGCCAAATGTCACGTTCTTATAGCTCCGACTCTGCTTTATATATATAAAGGGTGTGTGTGTGTCTATGTTGACTTGAGTGACTTGCCAATATCCTATTAGAGAAAACATTCATTCCCAATTGTAGCACGTATAAATTCTATAAAACCATTACGTAGTACATGTAAAGTATTGAAAATTGAGAGGTTATTAATGTGTAATTATATATTGGCTAATCCTTGTCCCTATACTATAAGACTTATGATTCTGACTCACATAATTATGACATGTGATGAATCTATTCGGTATATTTTAAGAACTCATCCGCCACATATTTAGTATTTTAAAGAGTTAACAATTTTTGTCAATATACATCGTACTGATTTGATATTTTTTTATTTTTATAATGATTGTACATATTTACCTAATTAAATTTTTTGAGTGATATGTTTGACCAATGAAGTTAGAAACGCCATTCTTTTTTAACACTCTGGTTCATTTGTTTACACTAGTTCATTTATGGTAAATACGGAGTCCCATTTATAAAAATGACAGTTCCTACCTTCCTAACGCCCTACCTAAATCACCCACCCTAGCCCCACCCTACCTCCCACCCCAGCCCCCCTCTCGCCCCTACCCTACCGTGCAAGTGTGGTTTGGGTGGTAGTAACGGTCATTTTACAAAGGAGGCACCTGTGCCTCAAACAAATTAATGTAAGCAATTGGTGTATAAGTAACTGGTGTAGACTTTTTTCGACTAAAATTGGTAAACTTTGACCATAAATTAAATAAAAATGATATTATATATTGATACAAAATACAGTTTTATTAGATTTATTATATAAAATATTTTTAAAATATTGTTTTATGCAAATAATATAAAATATATTTTTTATTTAATTATAGGTCAAAGCATGAAAACAGTTGACCAAAAAAATCAAAATTGGACAAATACTAAGGTGCAGAGGTTGTGTGTGTGTGTGTGTCTATATATATATATATATATATATATATATATATATATATATATATATATATATATATATATATAGACACACACATATATGTGTGTGTGTATTTTGTGTATATATATTATAAAACAAACTAAGATATTTATTTTGTGTTTATTACTTGAAAATTAAAGTTGACAAAATTAATTGGAAGCCATAATTATGGTATGGTCGAAAATAAGGAATTAAAGTAGGAATAAAATTCGATTTCTTTCCTAAATTTTAAAAAACATATTCCAAGTTGGATTGCGATGTGGATTGCACTCCTTATAAATAGGAGATCATTCTCGCTCCCTTATTTTTGTGACTTTATTTTGGCCCCTAGGGCAGGGTCGGGTTAACCAAAAACTAAACCAAAGTTGATCGAAATGAGCTAGAAAAAAAACTAAACTGAAAAAAACAAAACCGAATGTAAAAAAACTGAACCAAAACGTTATTGTTTGGTTCCATTTTGGTTTTTACTTTGAAAAACCAAATCGAACCTAATAAACCGAACTTGTTTATATGCTTTATTTATATGAGTACATGTGATATGTATAAAAATCATATAAACAAAAATGTAAATAAATTACAAGTTGATTAAAGTTTTTTCGTAACAATTAATTAAACATTTTAACCATATTATAAACTTTAAAAAAAATATAATAATATAAACACATACCAACAACTAATCTTAATATAGAATTATATAAAATTAAAAATTAATATGGGTAGTTAACATATATACATAAAAAACTTTGATGTTATAATGAAAATAAAAGTATTGTATCAAAAAACATAAATTCTCTGCAATTGATTTCACATACGATATATTTAGGATTGTTTGGAATCTCCTAGATGTTTGTTAGGCACTTGATACAATTTTGTATGTAAAATTGAACCGAATAGAATACTAACCTTCCGTTCATTTTTTTTTTGTGTAAAAATCAAGGGAAAAAAAACCTAACCCAAACTGAAAAAAACCAAAATAAAAACCGCATAAAACCGAACCGAATAACTAACGATTTACATATTTTTGCAAAACCAAACCTTACCGAACCGCCAACTTACCTTTTATTTTTTTTGGTTTTAGATAAAAACCGAACTCATCCCTATCGGCCATCTCCCTTTAGAATTAAGAGATCAAATTGTTTTGGTCTTTTAAATCATTACTCCAAATATTTTATATTTTAAGAAACTATATTTTTGAGAAAATTACTAGCATAATTTTTCTCAAGAACACCAATCAAGGTTCGTGTGTACGCACTAGTGCGTACACACTTCATCTTATTTTTTCATCCACACTAGTAATTAATCATTTAAAATTAAATTTCAATTTGATTATTTTAAAATAAATAAAAGTAACATTTTTTAAATATAATTATTTTTATTAATAATGATTTCTTTGTACTAGAATGTTAAAATTTCCAGACCAGTTTTCAGGGCGTTACACATGGCTTGGACTATCTACATGAAGTGCCACTACCAACAATACAAACTGGTGAACAAACCAGACCTCACTCTCTTTGTATGTCAAGAACTTATTACCTAACTCCAAAAAGGTTATCCTATTATCCTTTTCTCCAAATTATTTTCCATTTTTCAACCAAGTTACATTTCTCACTCCTTGTCTTGTTTGTTATCTTAATGTTTCTACGTGGTAATCCCATCACATGCTCACCATCTTCAACGCTGGTACGAACTCTAACATCTTTTGTAAGCTCAAGTGTACATACTGCTCCTTGGATTAAAATTCTTTATTACCCAATACACAAACTTTGCAGAAAGCTCTGTTAAGTACAACCTTAATATAGAACCAAAACCAAATTTTTCTATTTCCTACCTTTGAATATCATTCAGACCATCAATCACTCCCTGCAACACATGTGATGAACATCGTGTCTTGATGCGCATGTTCCTTTCCTTCAAATTTCAATTCTCATCCTTCTTTTTATTTACCATTGTTGCAACTTTTCAGTTCACAGGTTGAGAGATTTCCATACTAGTTTTCTTCTATTATGCATCCTCAAAATCATCGCCACTTTCTGAACACTCTATCTTATTCTCAGCATCTTCACCATCATTGTCCTAGGTTGTGAGAAAGCAGGACACTTCCGCAAGGTTTTTGCCTAGGTTGTGAGAAAGCAAAACACTTTCGCAAGGACACACTTTCCCTACAGCTAAGGTTCGACCAAAGTTAGTTTCCCAACGACCTTCTCAAAGCCAGAGATCTGTTGCAGGCTCAAATCCTTAGAGGATGCAGAACCAGAACCAGGGCCAGAATTTCCAGGAAAGCACACATACGCACACCTACGCTATGCAAGGGTTAAGTGAAATCAACCAAGACATCATCTTGGATATGTTCTTGCTATTCGATACTCATATGCTTGCATTAATTGATCTAAGCTCTACACAATCATACATTTATGTTCCTATGTCTAACAAATCTTAATTATATTCAAAGATGCAATCTAGAATATCCCATGATAGTATCAAATGCATTAGGGAATAACATGAGACTCCATCACGTATACCGTAGATGTCCGTTAATGGCACATGGACAACATTTGTCTGCTAACTTAATTGAATTTCCATACAAGAAGTTTGATATTAAACACATCGATTATGATAGTGTCATATTGTTTTTAAACACATCGATTATGATAGTGTCATATTGTTTTTCATTTTATTCAATCCAAATACCATTTCATTCATAGTGTTTATATTTCTTTTTTTATCAATTGTACGATACTAAGGACATCAATTATAACTGATATGTACCAAAATTCAATTAGTCCAAATCTAGTAAGTATGATTTGTTAAATAAATGGGTACATGTGAAAGAACAAAATTACTCCGTATTTGATGAGTATGGGTTTAGAATACAAAAATGTTAGGGGTATACCAAATGGTGTACCCCGTTTGTAACCGAGAAGCTATATGGTACAATCGGATGTACCTAGAGATAAGTACATCTGGGGTAGTATTCATTGTGAAGTAGAGTACTACTTATTCTCGCAGAAACATAATTATTCATTTAAAATAACGTGATTCCTATTCTAAAACAATATAGCACTCATTCTGAAATAATGTAGTACTTATTTTCATACATTTGTTCAATTCAATTATAAAATTCATTCACAAATAACGTAATGTCTATTCTAAATTAAAATAGTACTCATTCTCAAATAACTTAATGCTCATTCTCAAATAAAATAAAATGTATACCATAAATAACCTTCTCCCACGTGAACCAAACTAGGTTTTTATCCCCACGCCTCTCCTCCCATCCACCGCGGCTTTCTTCCAAGATCTACGCGACCCGACCCGCAACAGCTACTCCTTAAATCTTCCTTTTCCATCGTTTTTGTCGGATTTTCGCCACCATCGCTCCTCATCATCTTTGCTGCTCCATTGTCTTCCATTCCATCTCATTCGTTCCTCAATTAGCCTGTTGTACTAGAAATTTGGTACAACCGAATGTACAACTACATGTACGATCTAATTTGCGATTTCTTCCCCCGCTTAATGACTACTATACAAAAGCAAGAGAGAGAGAATTAAAAACAAAAAATGCAGGGTAAAGATGCATAGTGTATGAATGGGGGGTTGTATAAGCATTCCTTAGAATAATATGGTCCGGCCCAAATTGAATAGGTAAACACGGGTTGCATTCTTGACGAACGGCTTACATATCTCTCGAACAGGGAATCCCTAACCACCCGTCATTTATTCTTCATTTCTTCTCATCCCGAATCTACCGCTAAGGGCGTGAGGGTTTTGAGATGTTGCCGGTTGACAAGGTACAGGAACCGCCTCTGAAGAAGGCGAAGCTCGAGGACGGAGACGGTCATGAAGCAAATCTTGTCGAAGTCATTGAAAAGGGAGAGAGCGATAACGAGAGCTATCACGAAAGCGACAGCGATTTTTCCGATCAGGAAGAGTGGATGGAGTTCCGACGCATCCGCAAGCAGATTAAGGAGAGCGATGTATGGATCTTACTATTTTTGTTCTCTTAATTGTTTCTCTGCATTCTCTTTCAATTGGCTAACAACCAAGCGCTGGTATACACACACACACACACACATATTATTATTGTTACTGTTATTATTGTTGTTATTTTTAGGGTTTTGATCTGGACATTGGTGAAACATTCGTATCAGTCCTAGGGATTAGGCCAATTGATTTTTCCAATGAAAGTCATCTAGCATTTATCGAAAGGATGCAGATTTGTCTTGAAGAAACCGTGAAAAAAAACAATGAAGGGAGTTTGAAGGTTAGATCTTAGATAACCACTCAGCTCTCTTATAAGCGCTTAAAAAATACTAGCCAATTTCGATTTTAAAGCTCTCCCTCAGTATGTTATTCTTTGGTTTCATCTTCCGTTCATGCTTTTTTCTTGTCAGTTTTTGAGCGATTTTCTGGGCGATCCAACGATCGTTTGTCAGTTTCTGGATGATAAATTGGCTGACCCAAAGATTCTTAAGGCTAACATTGGAAACTCGTCTCTGATCTACTACATCACATTTGAAGCAACGAGTACAAAGTATAATGGGCAGCTGAGAATCTACCAGGTAAAGTTGACGCTTGTACCCAACGACGAGATGGTGATCTTTATCCTTAGGGAAAAGCCCGGTCAATCCTAGGGTGTTTCTACTGGCTGATGGAACTTAACCTTAAAACATCAAGTGTTGGTGATCTTTATCCTTAGGGAAAAGCCCGGTCAATCCTAGGGTGTTTCTACTGGCTGATGGAACTTAACCTTAAAACATCAAGTGTTGGTGATCTTTATCCTTAGGGAAAAGCCCGGTCAATCCTAGGGTGTTTCTACTGGCTGATGGAACTTAACCTTAAAACATCAAGTGTTCCTTTGTCTTCTTTTGGTGCTGTAATGTGGTGTTTGTGTTCTTGTCATTCCCAGAAGGGCTCTACTTCTTGAATGTTACTCCCTCCGTTTCTCAAAATGGTTCCTGTTTTGACTTTGGGGAAAAATAAGGAAAGTGTAATTTTAGTTAACTTTCCAATTTTGCCTCTGATGCGATGGTAAAAGTAAGATGTGATAGTTTAGTTATTAGTGAAAAAGTATGATGTCACAGGTAGGGTATGAAAAAGTAGGGGTAAAAGTGGTTTTTTAATAGAAAAATGAAGTGTTTTAAGAAAAACAAAAAAAATGAAAGAGGAAGGGTTTTAAGAAACGGAGGGAGTACAAGTTTGTGTTAAATAATTTATCAAGGAACATGTATCCTTTTGTTACATCAATATTTTATGAGGAATATTGCATAAATTAAGTGACGTGCAATAGTCATGAATCCCTTCGGTTCCTTGTTTTAAATTTCTCTGTCTACCAGATGTATGGGAGTAATCCATCTTTGTTCAAAATGCAAACTTTGGTAAATCTCGAAAACCTAGAGTCGGTTTCAAAGACTGAACTGGAATGAAGTGTATCAAAGAAAGTGCACGTCAAAAGAGTCACAAACCAAAGGGCGATAAGCGGATGACTGAGGTGGCACGGTCCATTCAAAAGTGGACGCCGGAGGAAGAATTGTTATTGGCGCCGGAGGAATATATATTTTTTAAATATATATTGTATGGGAGTATATTAAAAGAAAGTTATAAAAATTTGATATATATCAAAATTATATCTGAAAATAAACTCAATTATATTAAATTTATATTATAATTAAATTTTCCCATCTAAGGTAAGGATGGCAGAGTTAGACAAAAAGTCAAAATGTGCGTTTTTGTGGTGTAATGTTGTGCAAGGAACCCTATTATATTGAATTTTATTTTATATTTTGAAATAGTTATCCTTTTGAATTAAGCTACTTGTACACCAAAGGTTGTACGGTTGTACCTCAAATTGAACACAATAGGTGTGCATCGACATTTTGTGCCAGTGTGGTGCTAGTGTGATGGTTCACACTTGCTAGTCCAAAATTTTTTAATCATACTGTTATTTCGTACTAGTGTGAACCATCAAAACATCATTGCACAGTGTGGTGTACAACTTGAGGTACGCTCTTTCGTGTACCCTTGGCATGGTTGCATGTGCTCCTTTGTCTTTTTTGGGGGTGTAATGAGGTGTTTGTACGTGTTCACACTTTTTTTATCATTTCAAAATGGGCTCTACATCTTGTGTTAAAAGATTGGGTTAAATATAACATTTGTCAAAGAACATTCTTTTGTTTTCAATGTCTTGATGCACTAATATAGTCATCCATCTGGTAGTGTTTCCTGAATTCCGCATTTGGTGATGAAACCAACTTTTTCGTTCAGTATAAAATATTTTGGTCATTTTGATCTAATTCTAGTGGGTTTTTTGTAACACTACACATATATGCATACAATTCCAATTTAATGATGGGGATGGTTTACTTTTGTACGAGCATGTATTTACTCGGTAATTGTTTTGTTTTCATATGATGGAATGTTATCAAATTTCAATCACTAAATGCTGAATGACTAAAAGACCAAAACAATTTTACAAAACTAGAGATTATGGGCGATAGACATGGATGTATAAGCCGGCCTAAGTTTAAATTGTTGGCCTGGAGTGTGTTGGATGATAAAGATTTAGTGATTCAAATGGTATAAGTTACAGTATTAAATTGTGTCAAAATATCATATTTTGTATCTCATTTTTATACATTATGAGATTTATATTAAAACTATTACTTCGGGTTTCTTTTTTTCTTTTTTAAAAAAATTATGCACATTCCATTATTCATCAAAATCTGGTCGTTGTGTGTCACCACCTCCCACCTATCCTACACATTCGATCAAGGTTGTCACTGCGAAGCTATAGTTAAGGTGCACGGGGTCTTACCGTCTAGCCGTTGGTACTCCGCATCTTCACGGAGAATTCAATTTCACCGGGTCCATGTCGGAGACAGCGGGGCAGTCGTTACACCATTCTTGCAGGTCGCTACTTATGCGACAAGGAACTTCGCTACCTTAGGACAGTTAGAGTTATTGCCGCCGTTTACCGGGGTTTCCATTCAAAGCTTATAACACTTCTCCTTTTGACTTTCCAGCACCGGGCAGGTGTCAGATTCTATACATCGTGTTACCACTTAGCAGAGTCCTGTGTTTTTAATAAACAGTCGCTACCCCCTGGTATGTGCCGCTTTCCTAATCAAAAGATAGGAGAGCACCCCTTCTCCCACAAAAGTCACAATGTTTAAAAATATTTTCTTGTCCTAAACAACACTTCCCAGTTTTGTCCTAAACATTTTCAAATCCTCCCCCATTCCCAAACCCCGTTTGGGTTTTTTTTTTCCTTCTCTCTTCACCACTATATATAGCACACTACATTTTTTAAGTTTGGCGAGAGTTGGGTTTCTAGGTGGTTTTTTGCTTTGATTTCTTAGATTCAAGGGATATTTATTTAGATATTTTGTGTATTTTAGTGGGTATGAAAATGTTTTTTTTAGTTTGATGTGAATTACGACATTTTGAAATTGTTCTGCACTCTAGATTTGAATTTAGTGTAATAGATTGGAGATGATCTAAAGCAATCATTCTTTTACTTGAGAAATTAATTTTAAAAATCATTTCATACAAGTTAGATATGTAATGTTGAGTTGATACAGTAAACAAAAATATGAAGCAAACTCTTTGGTTTTTTAAACGTTGCGTAGACAAGATTATAAAACAAGACTTAGGCCCTATCCGGCTATCCCTTTGAATTGAAAAAATTAACTTCCAACTTCTTCTAATTTCTGCATATTTCTACAAATTCTTTCTAGTTTTTTCCAACTCTTACCAGTTTCTCTCAACAACTTAAAAAGCTATTTATACACGATTAATTTAAAATAACATTATATATCTAAATTTATAATATAGAGCTAATAGCATAGGTGCCCCTCGTGGTTTACAAAAAGAGTGTCAAAGCCCCATCTGTTTCCAAAAGTTATTTCTAAAGTCCCTATGGTTTTTAAATAGTGCACACATGCCTCCTTACATATTTTTAAAGCAAAAATGACATTTATGCCCTTTTTTCCTCGATCTTGAATTTTCCCAATGTTATTCTCTTTTATTATACAAATATTTAAAATAAAACATATGTTTCCCATCTCAAATTAAAATTTTCCATAATGTATTTTTGAAAACAAAAGATTTTTTTGAAGAATGTTACAAAAGAAAATGAAAAATAAATTATTATGTACAAAGTAAAAATTATAATTGAAAAAAGGTAATGAAAAGAAAGAAAATTATAAAAAATAGTCTTTTTCTTTAACTCTGTATTTAATTTCATCTTTCTGTTCTTCATTTCTTATAGTCCTTAAAAAATTATTTTACTTTTAAAAAACAAATAAGTTATAATTTTTAATTAGAGATTGAGTGAGTATATGCTATCTAATTTTTTATTTTATATATTTTACTTTTATTTTTAATGAAAAAGTGTATTTTATTTCATTTTTTAAATTTTCATTTTCTTTTATAAGATACTAGACTCGTACCCGTGCGTTGCACGGCCTAATTTTAAACTATATATTTTAGGAAAACATTGATGATGGAAAATGATAAAACTAAATAATAATAATAACATATAATCAAATAATAAAGAAATTGTAAATACTACGGAGTATACATGTTCATTATAAAAGATTACTTCCATTGAATCTCATCCTCTTGCCTAAATTTTTCTATTTTAAATTATTGTCCAAACGCCGGTGTTATTTAAAATGATTATCCAAACTTCAAGTCCACACAATATCCTAAATGCTCATCTTCGTAAGTTAAACTTATACTCCCTATTTTTTTTAATATCCTGTCCATTTGTTTTGTTTTGTTTTGTGTTGATTTAAATAAGAGTTTTGATTAAATTAAGAACTTTGGAAAATATCAAATTTGTATAAAAATTACTCGTATAAATTTTTCACTTCCTATTGTCATGAAAAAAAATCTAAAGACGTTACCCGAGATCCTCGGCCCGTAGTTCAATCTTGTGCCCTCTCGAAAGCTAACCCCTGGCTCCGCCAATGGGTTCGACAATTGTCAATCTCGGCAAGCACATTCTACATACTATTTGACTACATACGATTCATGGCAATACAGTGCTCATTTATTTATTTTGAGTTGACATAAAATTTTGCATCGAGCCACGTAGCAATATTACTACGCGCGCGATTCCATACCAATACACATAACACCAATTTTAAAATTACTATACCTTGGTAAAAACATCATGAGTTGGACTACAAACCTATTTAAGATATATATTCGTTACCCATTCTGTTCTAAAATTACTTTGCAATTTGTTTTCTCTGGATAAATTTCTTAAATTCAAATTAATAATTTTATTTTGAAACATAATATAGGTTTATATAAAAATATATATTTTAATGGTGGAATTATAATGTTTGTAACTGTGAAATATCAGCCGGGAAGTTAATTTTAGGGTGAAGAGAGGCTCAAAATCTTTTAATAAATTACTCCATCTATCACAATTTAAATCATCCGTTTTGGTTTACAATATTTGACTGGAGTTATTTTCAAATCATTTTAAATGAAAAATGTAGAACTAAAAAACAAAAATTGCATATTTTACAACTATATCAAAAAATCTACAAAAATAATGATGACATGCCCATATTATTGGATCAAATTACTCTAGCAAATAACAAAAGAAAGTGAATGAAGTTTGACGTGATAATAGCATGGGTACCCCCGTGATTTACAAAAGGAGCGCCAAAACTCCCTCTACTTTCAAAAGTTATGTGTAACACCCTGTGGTTTTTAAATAGTGCACAAACATCCCCTCTTGCCTATTTTGCACATGAAATGACATTTCTGCCCTTGGTTTTTCTCTATCTTCAAATTTCACTCTTTTCTTTAGATTTTTTGTCATACAAATAAATAAAATAAAATATACACCCTCTTTCTCAAATTAAAATTTTTTATTTATTTAGTTTTCAAAAAAATGTTTTTTTAAGAAAATGTTACAAAAATGAAATAAAATACACTTTTTCATTATAACTAAAAGTAAAATAAAAAATAAAAAATTGGATAACATATATTCTCTCTATCTCTAATTTAAAATTCTAACTTATTTGTTATTTAAAAGTGAAATAAATTTTTAAGGACTTTAAAAAATGAAGAACACAAAGATGAAATAAAATATGGAGTTAGAGAAAAAGACTATTTTTTATATTTTTATTTCTTTTCATTACCTTTTTAAACTATTATTACTTTTTACTTTGTACATAATATTTTATTTTTCATTTTTTTGTAACATTCTCTAAAAAAATCTTTTGTTTTCAAAAGTACATTATGAAAAATTCTATTTTGAGATGGCAAGTGTATATTTCATTTTATGTATTTGTATAATAAATGAAATTGAAATTGGAAAAGTTCAAGATTGGACAAAACAAAGGGTATAAATGCCATTTTAAATTTAAAAATAGGTAAGGGCAGCATGTGTGCTCTGTTTAGAAACTACATGAACTTTACAAATAACTTTTGAAAACAGATGGAGGTTTGACGCCCTTGTTATAAACCACATGGGGCACCCATGCTATTAACCTGAAGTTGGAAATCTGAATAGTTCACATGCAATTTCATTTGACACAGAGGGAGTAAGTTATGTTCATATAATTCATCCACTTTTTTCAGGCACAGTAAATACTACACCAATAATTTTAATTTTTCCGTCCTTGAGTATTTGTCTACATTTGAATTTTTCTAATCAAAATTGTTAAATTTTGACCTTAAATTTTAAAAAAAGTCATTAGATATTGATACAAAAATATTTTTATTAGATTTATTGTGTGAGATATTATCAATATATTATTTTATCTAATTGATACTATATAATATGTATTTTATTTAATTATAGATCAAAAGTAAAAAATACTGACCAAAAAAAATAAAAAATGCACAAAAACTTAGGGACAAAGATATAAATATATAATTGGCAATAGCCCAAATATTTTTTCGGCCCAAATGAATATCCAGCCCAGGCTCATTTATATAAAAGCTCCTTACCTAAACCTAAAAATACTAAAATCATTTCCGCAGCATTCTCTTTCTTGAGATTGCATCTCCTTCGTTCTTTCTCCTTCTCTCTCTGTCATACTCCGTATATAATTGTTCTTGATTATTAAACATATATTTGGTTGTTTCCCTATAAGCCGATTCTTTTGGTCGATGCATAAATGGATTTATGTGATATTGATATTTTTAGCCAATATTTTTGGGATCGTTTGGCGTTTTCTTTTGATTTTATAGCTTTTTTCATTAAGATTTGTCATAATGAAAAAGATCTTTAGATTCTGGATTTTTTTCATAAGCCGATTTCTTTTCGCGAAGTATATATTCTGGATATATACGTAAATCGGTAGATCTATATATATATATATATATATATATATATATATATATATATAGACACACACACACACATATTTAAATATCTTAATCCGATCGTCACCACCGTAATCACTTGCGCCCTTCTCCGCCGCATATCTCTGATTGGCGACTAACGTCAATGTCCAATGGTTAGTTTTAAGTGTATTATTTAATTTTTTAATCTTCTGTTTTGTTCTCAGCCTTTAAGATAATTTTCTATTTTTTTCATCATATTTTTTTATTAAGTATACATTAATCTTTAGATCCATGGATATTGCCACATATGATGCATGTCTCCCTTAGAGTAAGATTGCTAGATCTATTCGCATTTCTTGATTATATATATCTATATATATAGTAAATTAATGGATATCATTCATATGTATATGTATATATATATATTGTATACATCTCATCACTATTTGTATGTTATCTATTTTGTGAGTTATCTAATTCCTATTCAGTATAATCCCTATTTAAAAATCTATGCCTATATGAATGATATCCATTAATTTACTATATATATAATTTTCGAAATTATATCTAAATGTATAGTTAAAAATATTTCAAAATTAATTAGGAAAAAAACTATGATGAACCATTTCACCTATGTTGAAAGAATGAGAAAATTGGTTCAGTGATTTATAGGCTTTTAATGCTTGAGGCATGAGAAAAATGTCAAGTATCTTAGCATGGCGCAAGGGAATTTATCTCCGTTGTCGTAGACATGTCGATTTTTTCCTAGATTGCCTCAATATTAAAAACCGGTTATCAATCTGAGCTATTGTATATATTTTTTTGTATATACGTGCTAAATATTACATAGCATATATATATATATATAGTATATATGTATTAAACTATATATATATATATATCATAGCTATAGATATGTATAAATTTTTAATATACTACTGTATAATCATGAATTGTAAACTTGTTTGTGTATGTAAATATAAGGCTGTGATGATATGGAAAGACTGAGAAAATTAGTTTTGTGATTCTTAGGCTTTTAATGTTTGAGGCATTAGAGAAATGGCAATTAACTTGGCTGCCATAACAGAATTAATATCCGTTGTTGCAGCCATGGTGATTTCGTTTCTTTATCTTCCTCAAATTTATAGCCATTTTAAATTCTGAGCCTCTATTTTATATTATATATTTATGTATGTGTGTGTATTTGTAGACTGTAAAAGAATCTCAAAAGTCCCCTCCCCTCCCCTCCCCCCACACCGAGAAGCAAATGGTCTACTTTGGAAGGCTTGGGCTACATGAACTCCGATGGGAGTGTGGTAACTGAAATCTAGAGGTAGATATTTAGTAGTGAGAAGGGGAAATTTTGATGCATTGAGTGGAGGAATTCTGATGTATTTATAAGCCGAAGCTCTGTCCTGTATATTAGGGCATATTACTTTATCATGGCCGATTTTGGGCCTGGCTGAATTCGGGCCTTTTAATTCCCTATTTCCTTTTTACTCTGTAGCCCTAAATTGCCTTGTACTGTACACTACTTTTTCTTTATAGTAAGATGTGTGAAATTTCATCTAAAGATTTGCAAATCTGTTGTGGTTGCAATATTTAATATGCCACAGCTGGAAAGCAATTATGTCAGCCTTGGATTGACGTACCCCTATAGATATATGTGCCCTCCTTGTTGAAAAGATTTTAATAAATATGATTGGACATAAAGAGCTCCTTTTCATGGTGTAGAGACTACCCACTTACCAATATTTGGCCCACTAACCCGACCCGTTACTGTTTTCAATTGGATCCCAAATTTTGGGCGGGAACACTTTTCAAAATCGTATCTTAGCATTGTATATATTAAGATTCTAAAAAAAATTTTTGAAAATTAAATAAATGAAAATTTTTAATGTGAGAAAGAGAGCGTATATTTCATTTTATTTATTTGTATAATAAAAAATGCAAATAAAAGAGTGAGACTTGAAGATAGAGAAAAACAAAGGGTATTAATGTCATTTTATATCTTAAAAAGGCAAGAGGGGACGTATGTGCACTATTTAAAAACCACAAGGATTTTACAAATAACTTTTGAAAGTAGAGGGGGTTTTGGCACTTCTTTTGTAAACCACGGGGGCACCCTTGTTATTACCCTTTATAATATATCACCTCAAACACAGACAATTGTAAATTTTTTTCACACAAAAATAGAGTTTTCTTACATATTACTTGGATGATCATTATTTAATTGAGTAATTTTTTAACATTTAAATTCTTCTAACATTTTCCAACTCTTTCTAGTTTTTCCTATTGCTTTCAATTTCTTCCAACATCCAACTATGAAATTCCAACAAAAAAAACAGGGTTTTAGTTGTTGGTGAGTAGAATATAATACTTTCACATGAATAATTGGTATGATCTTTCCTCTGAAAGACTTTACTATACATTGTTATATATGAAGTTGACAAAGGGACTCTAAATGTTAATGTAGCAGCACTATAGGAAATTCACACACACCCACCCCCTCCCCTTCAAAAGAAATACAAATTCAATCACACAAGTTTTGGAAGTTTTTCCTTTCATACCTGTTTTTCATAATCAACAACCACGATTACCACTGATGAGCCATAGTGTTTTTTTGTCAAGGATTAAAATAACCGAGTTGAGCGGACTTAAGTGTTGCTATGTTCCCACCGTATATTATATAGCTTGGAGTTCCATATCTGCCAATCCTTCAATAGACCCAAATCCACATGCATTGTCTTCAACAATCCAATATCACACTTCTATCTGACATCCGAAGGTAACAAATGTGTGTACAAAACTATTAGAGTGGCCACTAAAACAGAAAACAGAAAGTTGTGTACATTATGGGGAAAAGGAATATAATGCGGCAAGCAAGAAGAGAATAACAAAGATGTGAACTAAAGAAGATACTCCATAGCAAGCAGTCCCGTTAAGATTTCCTGGCCCGGGGCGCAAAAAGAAAAAGGGCTCTTACACCAATTATTAAACATTTGCATTATTTTTTTTTTAAATATTGAAGCTCAATAAATACAAAAGTAAATACTCCGGTTTTTTCAATACAACTTAAAAATATACTCCCTTCATTCCAAAAAGAATGCCACATTACACAAAATGAAATGAAATTCCATGTTTTTCAAGTCAATTTATTTTAAGATTTGTATAGAAACAAGAAATAATAACTTACATATTTAAAAACTACATCAAAAATTCTGCAAAATAATAGGTGACAAGAACATTTTATTCTATAAAATAATCCATAAAAACGCACGTACCAATAAACAAAATTTCTCATAATTTTTTATTAGTAAAATGTGACATTCTTTTTTGGGACGGAGAATGTACAATATTAAGGTTGTGTTTAGTTGGGGGAAAATATTTTACTAGAAGAACATTTTCCAAGAGAAACTTAGTTCCAAGAAAAATTAGTTTCCAATCATATTTTCTATGTTAATATTTGAAAATTAATATTAGAAAAGATGTTTTGAAAAAATTTAACAATACTTTAATACCATATAGGGCGACGCAGGGTGAATAGGGGGCGGGGGCGTGTGGAGGGGGTTCATGGGTGGGTGGCAAGTGACGAGCGACGATGGGTGGGGATAGGGGGTGACGGGTGGTAGGGGAAGGGTAGGGGGTGGGGTGGGGGCTGTTAGGGGATGGGGTATGGGGCTGGAGGGGCGTCCGTGAGGGACGAAGCAAATAGAGAATGATTAAAATATTTGCCCTTGGTGTCTTTCTTTTTTACCTATCACTTTTCTGGGATCCAAACACAGCCTAAGGATACAAAAGAGATTAAATTTTAATGTTTAAGTGGAGTAGAAACTGAATGAAATACGTACATTTCTTCTAAGCTTTGACTGGCCATAACTCATAGCTGCATGGTGCCCTATGTTGAAGAGACTATAATCAATTATTCAGTGTGAGCAGCTGTAAATAACTCTTCCCACTTTTCGTGATCACTTCCTGGCCCCTCGCCCTGCATTATTTGACTTCCATTCAGAAAACTGGATTTCAACTAAGGAAGTGTTTAGAAACTAGAATTCATTTGAAATCGAAGATTTCAATTCCAACATTCGAAATTCCATAATTTCAAATTCCAAATGTTGTTTGGGAAGTCATAGAATTCCGATTCTAGAATTTGAATTTTAAAGTAAGCAAAGACGGTAACGGAAACGGGTTTGAATTACAAGTAATAAATTAAAGGAAAATTAGATTTGGATTTGTAAATTACATGGGGATGGTGTGGATTTGTAGTTGGGTTAATTTTGAATTAGAAGAATTTGGTCCAAATCCAATTCCAAATTCTTTGAGTTCCCAAACAAGTAATTTGGATCAAATCCAGATTTAAAATCCAAATTCAAGTTCCCAAACACCCCATAAGGGAATTTAGAAAGAACCTTATGTAAAATAAAAAGATTATAAATCTCCTCCCCCGCCCCAAGCATGCAAGCCAAGTATATCCCCCCGTTGCCCCGCATCAATATGAAACTAGCCAGACAACCCAACTCATTCTATTTTGCTAATAAGTGATACATTTACTAAGAAACATACTGAGAAATATATGAAGACTTCAAGCAAGAGCCATGCATGTGTGAAGTAGCAAACACTGCTCGTATGACAATTCCATTTTTAAGTACATATGTTATAGATGAAACCATATAGTTCTCAATTATAACCTCTAGAGAAGATAATTACCGGGATAGAGTTTATTTCATATATTTGACCCTCCGTGAAGTCTATGTCCAGGGCCTGTATGCAAGCTTCTGCAACCACGAGCCTACTCGCTTCTCCAACAATTTTATCCCCTGATTTTCAGTTGCAAACCATTGAAAGAAGTCCATTAATGAATTACAGACACAGAACAACAAATTGCCACAAAGATATGGCTGGAAACAGTTTTAGAAATGAAAAATGTTTTAGAAAAAAAGAGTAAATTTCATAAATGGTCTCTTATAATGGGTGACGTGGTTTACAATATTTAATCCCTAATTCTAAGATATTATATTTGAGGTCCTCAATTTTTGAAAACTATTCCATAATCAATCCGTTGGAGACTATATGTGGCAAAAAAGTATTTGGTCGTACTTTACCCAAAGGACCAATTATGCAATATTTTTCAAAAATTAGGACCACGAACGTAATATCTTAGAACTAGAGACTAAATTTGGAAAACCACATGTTATAAGAGACATTTATAAAATTTACTCTTTTTAAAACATTTTGTTGAAATGAACCAATTCACTTGTCTTACATTTCATGTTTTTTTCATTATATAAATTTGATATTCTAACTGAATGTGTTGACCATCACAACTTTCACAAGTTTGCTATCCATACTGTTTAGGATCATGTTAGAGATGAGTTACCTTGACCTATAAGGACTGCATGACGCTCCCCTGCTGTTGCCTGTAGAAGAGTGTTCAGATCATATGAAGTGTATGGTCCATCCGTCAATCTACCAGCTCTGTAACTCAAAGGAGAATGCTGATTTGGAATCCACCATTTTTTAATATATTATTTTCACTTCAATAGAAGGAACGTATATGAACAATCAATGACTCATGAAAAATATATGACCTGATTATAGTGAACGGGAGACCAGAGTTACAAACAAAATCTTCCCCCATCTTCTTATACTTGAGAACACCAAAAAGGTTCACAATGCTGCAGACCATAATGGAAAAAATCAAATGAGAACATTGTGATTCATTTGTGAACTAAAAAGGAATGTAATTTAAAACTAAAAATTATCTGGTTCCAACCCTAGCACAAATGAAAACCATCATTAATTATTCACCGCACGTTTGCTTTAACCCTCGAAATGATGTCAATGAACTCAATTTATTTTTCCCTAGGAAAACAATCACAATTATTTTTCTATTTACATGGACAATGAAATGCAAACTAAAGACTTTTTTACGGATAAAAAAGAATTGACATGTTATCCTGCTAATACTTTTTACTGTTTACAAAGTGAGAAAAATGAATGGACCAATCTGCACCCAAGAAGAACAAAGGAAAGGAATTAGGGACACCAGAAAGCAGTTAAAACTTAAAGGTTGTTATCTGCCTATCGCACATTTCAGACAAGAAGTTTCATTATTTTATAGAAGATAAGATGTTGCCAGAAAAGTCATGTTTTAAAACTCTTTGATGGACCCAGTTGCATATTATCATGATTTGTAAGGGATAGCATGGGTTTAGTTATAATTTATTAAGCCGTTTTAAAAAGTAAAGACAACGCTCCAAATAAAATCTCATTTAAAGAAGTATCACCCAAGTACCTAACTTGCTCTTACTAAACCAAAATGAAAAAGCAGAGCCATGGGCAGTTAACTTAGACCAATAAGAATAATTATACCTCCAAGGTAAGTCATTGAACTTTGTAACACCTATTGATGACACAAGATTAATTCTCTTTAAAGACCGAGGCAATGCAGAAACAAGATTTCTCACACCCTCCCAATCTACAGCAACAATAAACATAATTAAAATTAATAGAATTGGGTAGAGATGCAAAGCACAAAAGGTAAGACATGCTAAATCATAACCTCCTACTTTTATTGACATGACTTTTTTACTTAGAACTTTATTATTTCTAAAGAACATTCAATGCTCATATAGAGAGGTTTTGGGCCTAAACCCAATACGAATAGGAAACATAAACATTAAATGTAATGAGAATATGAAAATAATGCTAGTAAAACTACTTTTAATGCATCATATAGCTACTACTTTCTATACTCTTAAACAAGAAAAAACAAGATCACAGTATAACATTTTGACATGAGAAACACCAGTCAAATAGCAGTGTTTGATTAGGAGTTACTTCTTAAAAAAAGGATACATCAAATGTTGTTTGTGTAATCAACATGAGCTATAGGCATTAACCACATATGCAATCAACTAAACTGCATGGGCATCCAATAAAATGTCATTTCCCAAAAGTGAGTAATCTTTCTCACCTACTCTTTTGGGTGTGTTGCCTCCATTCCACCTTCTTGAAGGAAAGGCTGTAGTTCCCGTACAACATATGACATGTGTTACATCCTACAAGTCATATGTTAGAAGAAAGTGATCAGCCTCTAGAATACCATAGAAACCTTAGCCCTTTGAGAAGGATCTAGAAGCATTCCAAGAAACAGGATCCAATCTATGAAGGAAATGAAAGAGATCCACCTATACATAGCACAAACCTGAAACATGGATGGATCCAACTCCATGAAGTTCCGTGTGTCAACCTTCCATACCTAACAATATTATAGATTTTCTTGTTGTCATGAGAGCATTCCCATAAGTAAAAGGAAAGATACATGTCTTTTATTTTTTGAGAGGAAAGAAAAGTTTCACCAATGGTCCAGATACCACCTTTAATTTGTCCTCATCATGCTTGCCAAACAGAGCGCTTGCTTTCTCAGGATCTCGCAGTATGAGCCGCACTCTGATGCTTCGACTTAGCAATGATGCTACAACTAACTGTCCTGCATGGAGCACGATGAGCTGGATCAATGAAACCAAATCCAGCATACCCAGCTATGAAGCACCGGTGCGGGTGCGTCAACCGGTGTGGGTGCACAACTGGTGCGTGGTTGCGAAATTTTTCAAAAAAAAGGGTGCGGGTGCGGCAAATTTATTTATACATTTTTTATTTGTATTATATATTTCTTTGTAAGATACATGTATATATGTTCAAAATATTCACAAAATATAACAATAGTCCGAATTTTAAATAAATCAAACACACAACATCCCACAAAATAGATAGAAACATAATACAACTCTAAAATTACCATTAAAAAAGAAAAACAAAGAAAAGTTGATAAGTACGAATGTACAATACTTTTGGTGGAAAAAAATGAGAAAGTTGAAGCGAAAAGTCTTACTCCGTAAAGCTATGTAGGTTTGCGATCAAGTATCAAAAAAGAAGTATTAAAAAAAGAAAGTATTATAAGTAGAGACTCGTTTCTAATCAAGTTCTTATTAAAACAAAGAGAAGAGTACAAAAAATTGAGAAGTCAGATGACGCCAGATCGGGCGAGCCACTTCGATGCCGGCATTTCTACAGTCAGGCACGTCAATCGTTGATCTTATTAGCGATTTACATCGCAGCTCTGTTAGCGATCTTAAACTCGTACGATTCAACAATTTAAACAGCAAGTCTACTGTGCCACACCCGAGGCGCATCCCCCCACCCCCCGCACCCAAGCACACGGCCACACCCGCACGGTGCTTTGTGCGTTTGTTTTTTGAAGCACCCGTGCTTCATAGATACCCAGTATATCCCACTCATGAGGATCAGACGATAAACATGAGATTATGAGAACAAGAAAGCAACAAGTATAATTGAGAGTAGTAACATCGCCCCAGTGGCCGGTTTACTTGCATATAATTCATACATATAAAACATAATCGCTGCATATGGCACAAAAACGCAGGTGTTAGTCATACCTAGCACCACCTATGAGTCTATGACCTATAGTTTGTTCCAATTATAGCATATATGTTTTAACAAAACAGAACTTTATAACATAATGAGCAGGTCCAAACAAAGTACAAGGAAAACAACAAGGAAAAACAACATCAAAACTAGGGCACACCCTCCTAAGAGAGAAAAAAATACAAAAGGAAGCCAAAAAACAGAGACTAAAGCCGAAGGGCCATCACTAGCAGGACAAGGCATAACACAACAGACGGACAAACTATGCATACCCACGTAAATCCTTCTTCCCCGAGAAAAAGAAAGCCAACACTTGCTGGATACAGGCATTACCACAATAATCTTCTAGAGAGATGATCATACCAGTGTGAGCATTATAATAATCAAGGAGTTCCCTAGAGTCCTCATAATCAGCATTAGATGGGAAAATACTGGGTGAAAGATTGACAGTGCAAGCCGCAAGTCCGCGGCAGGAGGGGTTGGATCAATTGCTCCAGCACGTACCTGAAAGGGAGGGGGAGAGACTGCAATAGGGGTACTGGACCCTGACGGGGGAAGAACAACAATGGGAAGCAGGATCGAATCCTCATATTTCAAAGCGTCAAATGAGTTTCCAAAAGGCACAATAGCACTGCAAGAAGTTGTGATCACCTTCTGGCGTGGAGTGACAACTTTGGGGGTTGGAGGCTGTGTAACCAAAGGTGTTTCATGCACAGATCCTCAGGAGTGGCAGCAGATGTGATGATGTGTATTTCTCACTTGTAACATCTTCAATACAAAGTAACAAACGTGCAGAGGATTCCCTTGGGTGTTGTTGAAGATTGCACTTTGAAGTCAAACACTAAAAGCCTATTCCTAAGTTAGTATATAAATTTTTGTTACAATTACAGCATTAATGTTTAATATCGTGCTAAAAAGGAATGGTCCAAAATTCCAAATTAACAATTTATGAATGTCTAGATTACATCTAACCCTGCATTATTCCATCCTCATAGCCATCCCCAAAATATTATTATAGTTATTCGCCTCTCCCTCACCAAATCGATGCAGCTCTCCATCTATAACATCAATACACGCATGGTTTTTTCGGTCTCCACTCTGATGGAAGAATTTGTTACAATTACTTGTCTGAAAATTCAAAAGCAGTAACAACCTAGTTTAGGGGAATTTACACATATAGGTAAAATGCAATTTAACTCATTTAAATTAGTTTTGTCAAACATGCATATTTTGTCTTTCATTTCATACACCTAGATACCTAGGGTTTTTGTTGGAAAATATTAGTCAAACAACAACACTCTCTTAAAGAATAAATATTGGAGGAACAAAAATGTGCAAAAAAATAAGAGATCAACACACAATATTTTTACGTGGAAAACCCCTCTCAAGTAGGGAAAAAACCACGACTTTTTCGGGTTAAACTTTCTACTATAACATCAATTGAGTACAACATCACAAAGAGTAGCTCTACTTGCAAGGAAAAGTGAATAAAGAAATCAGCCTAAATAGGAGTAAAACATAGAGAAAGTACCAAAACAAAAGTTCCATGTTTTTATCCCCAAAATAAGAATCTGCACTGTGATAACGTGGCACTGTATATGGACATTTCAAAATACTTTTTTGGGTATTATATATTGGCAAGATTGACATTGTAAATGCATTTTATTCCTATTTTGAGAATAAAAACATAGAACTCCTACTTTGATATCTTTGCTATGTTTTACTCCTAGTTTAGTTTTTTCCACGAAGTTTGGATAAAAATCTTTCCCAAACCATAGTATCCCCGACTCACACTCTTACACATGCTCTTTTCCATCTTCCTCCATCATCCCTTCTTTTTTTCTTTCTTTTATTTTCCTCTCGACTACGAAAATAAAATAAACTCCAACATAATTAATGTTTGGTTGATAGAGATATCCCAACAAATTCCTCACTTGACCTAATTTACCAAACATTTCAACCAACGTATTCAATATTTGATAATTGGAGAGATATCTCAACAATTTTCAACCAAAATACCAAACACGAATCTGATCACATAACAGTTTCAAATAGGTACATAAATAGTGAGGTCTAGAAGGCGGCAGAGTACATACCAACACCACCTGAGCCACCAACTACTAGAACGAGTTTGGACGAAGATGACAATGTTGAAGGTGGCGAAGTAGCGTTCTCACACTCTCCAGAAAGACGAGACGACGGCGAATTTGATATTTTTCCTACAGAATTCGAATTGGAAGCGATCTTAAACGAAACGGACAAACATCCAGAAGAGGAAGAATTGAGCGAGAAAAGAGGTAAAAATGATCTTGCAGAGGGGGTTAGAATGGAGAGCGGAAGAGCGAGAGACACTGTGGAAGACATGAAAGTCTGGGAATGGATATCCTATCTTTCAGGCAATAGTCTGTGGAAGAAAGTCCGGGAGGGCTTGCCGGCAATATTGTGTGAAAACGGGAAAGGCGTGGATCTCGAGTTCTAGAACGGTCAAAAAATAACCTGATTTGTTTCTCTAAGACCCGACCTGAAAATACTGGGTTTTGAACAAAGGTTTTGTTGATCGAACTTGAAGCTGACCGAACCCGAAATTACCCGTTAAAAATGGATCAAACCCAACCGAACCCGAACCCGACCTGACCGACCCGCTATTGTGAGAATTTTTCACAATCATATGCTTTAATATATAATATAATGTTATAAAAATAAGATTTTAATTATATTTTTTTGCTTTCTACTTATTTTTAATGTATAAATTTATGTTTTCATACAAAATTTTGATGATATCCCATAATTATCTTATTTTTTTCAAAATTTTCCGCATATTTAGTTTTTTTATTCGTAATATTGATAATTAATCATAAAATTTACTTATAATTTCAAAAAATAAATGAAAGTCGTAACACGTTGCGTCGACCCGAATCCGATGACATTGGGTCATGAACATGTAACTCTCAACCTGAACTCGAACTTACCAGAACCCGAACTTACCTGAACCCAATGTAATCGAACCCGAACCCGACCTTACTCACCGTTTTGCTCGCTCTATTGAGTATAGATACATTTTCTCTGTATGTTGTTTTTGGCTTTGGATGGAATATTTTGATAACATTTTATGCAACCATGATAGGGGCTACAAAAAATGTAGCATACATGAGTTTTGCTCACATGATTTTTAATACTACAAATATTGCTCACATGATTTTTAATACCTCAAATGAAAAAAGCCAAAGTAAAATAAATAATATTTGAGAAACAGAATGTAGAGTTAACAATGTTTATTTTTATACCAAATTTTCTGAAAACTTTAGGGTATACAACATTTTTGGTATGGTTGCAAGGATTTTCATTGTCATGTAGTAGAACTAATTTTTTTAATCATATCTTTGTCTTCACTCGTGAAACAGCAAACTATAGTTGACCATGTGTGAACACTGACTTGGTTAAAAATAATCTTACAAATGACAATGTTTGACCTTCACTTTTGTTGATAGTCATAACAAAACATGAGACGATCGAGAATTGTCTTCTTTAGAACTTCAAGGGTAACCTTGGATCAGATGGTACCAAATTCATTCTACAGATTTAAACTTTTTCCACGACTCGATTTCCCGAAATCACGATTGCACCGATAACATTATTTCGCAGTTCTTGAACGATTAATCTTGTCCCGTTACACAATCTAGATGTTTGGTCAATGTTCCTCAATAGCATTATTGGTACCTTTTTTTCAAGACTATTTTGTGGTTTGGGATTCTCGAACATTTGATTTCGTTCAAAAACTCAACTGTTATCCTATTGACATCAACACCTACATCTGCTTCTACTTGGCACAAGAATCAGAACTCAAGTACTCCTTTTTCATCACCAGGAATGAGGGACAGAAGAAATTCATTTATCATTTCAACTATTTCGAGAGTTGGTGCCTGTTGAGGACTTTTCGTGAGGTCCAAAACAAATTAAAAATTTATAAAATATCCTTAACTAACCCCCAAGATATCAGAAAATTACTCGCGGATGACGCGAGTTTTATCAAAATAACCTTCAGGTCCCTCTATTTTCAAAAAGACAACCGAGGTCCTTGTATTTTGTTGTAATGATCGGGAGGGGACATTTCATCCAATACATCATCCGTAAAAGTTAATAAATATATTATTTCCTATTTATCCAATACCGTTTTTTCCTATTTTGCCATTACCTTGTTTTTTCTTTTTTTAAATTTTTTTTATTTCATTTGTTTTAATATAATACAAAAAATTTTAAATTTTTATATGATTTTATAGAAGAAATTCTAAAATAACACTTTAAGAAATAGTAACAAAATGAAAGAAAAACAAAAAAATAAAAAAAGGAGCGACCTAAAATTTATTACATTAAAACATTTAGAAAAGAATAGGAAAAAAATACATTTATTAACGTTTATAGATGAAATATTGGATGAAATGTCCCCTTCCAGTCATTACAACAAAATGTAAGGACCTCTGCTGTCTTCTTGAAAATAGAGAGACCTGAGAGTTATTTCAACAAAACTCGTGTCACCCAAAACAAAATAAAAAAAGAGAATAAACACAAGCCGAACATTACACGTATAATAGGCACGTAGACGATATATTACGTAACTTACGCACTTAAGAATAGAAAAAATCAATCAAAGGTCGAGTCGATTCATTTCCTTAACCACGATATGGAGGATTGTCAACTCTCCACACGGCCCGGAGTCATGCAATTCAAAAGCCCGTTTTGAAATATACCTTAGAACCTCAACTCTCTATTCAAGCATGAAAACATACTTCCACTATAGAAAAAGTTTATAAAAGAGAAAATCTATTATGCATTCAACTCTCATACATAATCTATTCACAAATCGCCAATACCATATGTATTTTAATAAACTTTTTCTCCTAATGATGAGAAGAGCACATTTCACAGATTTCCACGAACTTCTACTTCTCAAACCAATGACATTTTTTCCATTCACATAAATGAACACAACATATTTTCATAAAATTGAGAATTGTTTTTGAGCTTAAACAACCTCAAATTAACGAAAATAACAAACAAACAAACATACAATAACATAACAATCACTCAATGAAGCGGGATTCAGATGTTTCAGGATCTTAAGAGACATTACTGGTGGCCCGCAATGAAGCGGGAGATCACAGAGTTCACATTGCGGTGCTTGACTTGCAGCAGGTCAAGGCCGAGCATCAGGTCCCTTCAGGATTACTTCAGCAGATCACCATTCCCGAGTGGAAATGGGATCGCATCACGATGGATTTTGTTTTGGGACTGCCATTGTCACCACGTAAGAACGACACAGTTTGGGTCATCGTTGATCGATTGGCCAAATCAGCTCATTTTCTTCCCATTCGCTGTGACTTTCCACTTCAGCGTTTAGCGCAGTTGTACATCCGTGAGATCATCAGGCTGCATGGAGTTCCATCATCTATCATTTCGGATCGTGACCCTCGATTCACATCACAGTTCTGGAAGAGCCTACAGAGAGCCTTGGGCTCCGATCTCCACTTGAGTACCGCATTCCACCTCAGACAGACGGTCAGTCTGAAAGGGTGATTCAGATTATATTCTCGAAGATATGATGCGCGATCGACTTCGGGGACGGTTGGGAGCGATATCTGCCGCTCATGGAGTTCACATACAACAATAGTCACCAGGCTAGCATCGGTATGGCACCGTACGAAGCTCTCTACGGTAGACCCTGTCGTAATCCTACTTGCTGGACAGAGCTCAGCGAGAGGAGGTTAGAAAGGCCTGATCTTGTCCGTGAGACTAAGGAGAAGGTCTGACTCCTTAAGGACCGACTTCAGACAGCTTCAGACCGAGAGAAGTCATACGCGGATCTGAAGAGACGTGATATTGAGTACGCCGTGGGCGACAAAGTATTCTTCGAAGTTTCTCCCTGGAAGAAAGTTCTTCGCTTCGGTAAGAAGGGGAAACTCAGTCCGAGGTTTATAGGTCCATACCCTGTCATTGAGCGTGTGGGACCTCTAGCTTACAGACTCGAGCTACCACCTGAGCTGAGCAAGATACATAATGTGTTTCATGTATCTATGCTACGGCGATATCGATCAGATCTGACACATATACTTCTAGTAGATTCAGTCACTCTAGACGAGAATCTCACATACGAGGAGGAGCAAGTTGAAATCTTAGCCCGAGAGATCCGACAGTTGCGTAACAAGGAGATTCCATTGGTCAAGGTCCTTTGGAGGAGTCACTCCATTGAAGAGGCAACCTGGGAGACCGAGGAATCCATGCGTACCCGTTATCCTCATCTATTCAGCGATCAATGATCAGGTAAATTTCGAGGACGAAATTTTCTTAAGGGGTGGATAATTGTAACGCCCTGCAACCTGGTCTAATAGAATTGATTAATTTAATTAATTAATTAAATACTCGGACCGGGATTGGGAAAATAAAATCTTTAGAAAAATTATTTGATCACGTCATAATATTCATCTTGACTGTCTGATTCCAGAAATGCGAACGGATCTCAATTCAGACGCGTTCGGGGGGAAAACCGCATACCGTTCAGGTTAGATTTTACATAACGGAACGAATTTAGGGAGGTAACCTCCCCATCTAATCCACACGCCACCCACTCACACACATTCATGCCCATTTAATTCCTCCAATATTTTCTCATTATTATTTTCAATTTAAAACCTCATCCCATTCCCTTCCTCTATCACACTTGTAACCCTCATTCCTTTACACTCTCAACCCACTCTCTCTCCCCCTTTCCCCTGTTCAGCCAAGGCAGCAAGCAGACCTGGAGAGGATTCCGGTGAGTAAACGGGAGGTAGAAGAGAAGGAAAGTCACGCAGGAGGTTGTCCGCTCGCTCGTTCGTTGGTTCGTTGCTAACCGTTCGTTCATCTCGTCCTATCGTTCCGTCAACCCCTTCACCTAGAGGTGAGTAGTTGCCCCCTCTAATTCTAGAACATTTAGTATAATCTATGTCGTTATATTCATAGGAATATCGTACGCAACCTACGTAGAATCTATGCATGTTCGTAGGTTAGCCATCAAAACGTCCACTACGTAAAACATATATATATTGGCCTAGGAATCACTAGGAATATATTCACCAATATTTGTATTATTGTTCTGGAAAAAATCAAGGTATTAAGTTTTCAAAATGGATCAAAACGTAGCCCAAGGCAGAAGACTGCCTTCGGGACGGTTGACTGTCACTTCAGACGGTGGACCGTACCCTCGGTCATTCCGACGGTCACCACCATGACGGTCGACCGTCGGGCGCGACGGATGACCAAGGTGGACCATCTGTAACCCAGACCGTTGGCCTTCCCTCAACATAACCGTAGCCCACGGTCGACCGCCGGTCAGGCACGATCGACCGTTCCTCGGGTAGATTTTCGGGCAGTTTGTAGAACGAGTCCCGTTGATCAGGAACCTTTGGGATCCAACAGGTTTTCATCAGGTGGGCTTTGTGTACGTACATGGTAGTCAGGTTACGGCTACCACCCAGTTTTGCTAGTCCACTTGCGACATTTCGTCGAGCCCAGCTCTTTACTGTTTTGGTATGATAACCGGAGTGCAGGGGTGATCCTGTCAAGTGAGACTAAGCCAGGGGTGCCCCTGATAGTTTAAGTAATGCATCAAGTCATATCATCATCATGTATGTTCCACATCACAACAACATTCATTGTGGTTGTATATCATTTTGGTTATGTGTAATAGTACCCCATCCAGTGCAAATTGAACAGTTAGTAAACATGTGGCTTTCCGTACGTTAAGTACAAGTACTAATATGTGTATAACCATATGGGTTATCACTTTATGTTCTTTTTTTAGATTCACTCCTCAGCTTTCGCTGAGCGTGTAGTTGTTTTTGCTACATGCAGGTAGACTAGACGGTACAGGTGCTACCTTGGAGGACAGTGATGATGGGAAGATGGGCGGCGCACGGACGAATTCAATATTTATATACATTTAATTAATTAATCATTTGGGCATGAACCCACCATATGTCGTTTTACTTACTTTGGACTGGACTTATTTATTTACTTCCGCTTTACTCTGCATTATATCTCACACGTTTTGGGGATAACTCCCTAGCATTTATTTCACCAATTAGACACAACCGTTTTCATAATAAATAGACATTAATGTTTTTCGCTACGGACGGTTCTCGGACCGCCCATGTAACCCTACCGGTCCGTTGGGTCGCGGGTGAACCGGGTCCACGGAAGGCGGGTGTTACAAGTACCTTGTATCATTGGAGGGGGCTATGCTCCTTCGAAGTGAAATGAACATGTTGAGATGAATTACGTGATGCCTTGTATACAAAAGATAGCTAGGTCGATAAACAGTAATCATATTCCTGAGAATCTTCTCAAAGAAACAATTCATGTTATCAGTTGTTGGTATGAAGATAAAACAGAATGGGGAAGGGGAGCTAGGTATGCCTTCTCTCTCTTCTCTATCTCAATCATATGTGAGAGTGGGTGAACTTTTTATCAGGTCTGCCTTACTTTTTAACATTTAACAAATATAAGGAAAAGTCTGCCAACTTAACATAATAAATATAAAGACAAGTCATGATTAGAGTTTCAAATATAAAGTACACACCACTTTAGGCTATTTTATTTATAAGAATCAGCCCAAAAGTATCAATATGCTTGAGTATTGTTCTTGTCATTTTAAACAAAACTAAAAAAAAGCTTACTATACATCTAACATCTAGTAAAATCAAAGCTGAGTTCTTTTGGCTAAATATAAGGACAAGTTAGGATTAGAGTTCCAAATTTAAGGTGCAGACCATACCTTAGGCTACTTTATTGAAGGAAGTTGAATCATCAAGCCAAGTGCTAACAAATCCCTGTTGCAAAAGGAATCATAGAGAGTTAAATGTATATACACTTGTTGAACATGGTCTTTGTCATTTTTGCAATTTGTGTTCAGTCTACTTTGGGAAACATTAAGAGGAAGGGTGTACTTACTATTCTATGGACAACTAGAAAATCTGAAAGGGGCTAACATAAAAAGAGAATGTGAATCCATTGCTTGAAAATGATATTCTTGAAGTCTCTTACATAAGTATTCTTGTAAGTTAGGTCATAAAATTGGAAATGATTTTGTATAGCTATAAACACTGCAAACCAATTCAGCCTAGAAGACAAATGTTATGAGGTTCAAGCAGCCTTTGGATGATGGAATTCTGGAATTAGCCTTTGGATGATGGAATTCTTGGATGTCATGGTATGTTTGTGCTATGTCACAAATGTTTATATGCCATGTGCTTTTAACTATGAGGATGGTTTATGTGCCTACCTAAACTACTATTGCTTGGGCTTGGTCTTAGTCATGGATTTGTTTGGGGTGATGATGTTGTTCCGTCTTCCACAAAGCTAAAGGGTCAAGCTTAAGTCATTGGGGAGAGTAAAACCATGGCTAAAAACCAATATTTGTGTAATTGGCACTCCTACCTTGAAGATTTGGTCTTTATTCTTTAATTTGAGAATATGGATTTTCATTCTGTGTGTTTTTTTTGTTTTCTACTTTGGATTGAAGAAAGCCAATGTACTCTTAATTTTGTTTTTAATAAATTTTGTGTACTCTTATTTGCATCTCGCCATCTTTTTATTGTTTTTTGGTTTTATGATGTGAGATTGATTGTTTGTATGAGTTCTCAATTCCCTTTGTGTGTAGCAGGACAGTACCAAGCCTGTCCATGTACTTTTTCGTGAAGTGTTTATTTTTTCATGCCCATATAATTGTTTGAAACAATGTGTATTTGATTGTTGTACATATATTGTCCGAAAGTATGAAAGTAAAGTTAGAGAGCGTATTCATTTTCATTGTAAAAAAGATTACCGTTACTCTGAACCTTTAAAATAGTTCTAGGCTTAAGAACTAGACTACTGTTTAAAAGGAATATTCTTAACTTTTAAAATAGTTCTAGGCTTAATACGCACAATTCTCTTAAAAACAGTTTTATTTACTTATTTTAGATAACCATGAAAAAAACAGTGTGACACATACTACTTGTATACATTACGGTTTCTCAAAACTTTGAAAATATTTCTAGGATTACTGTTTAAAAAAAGTATTCTTAATTTATTATTAACAACTTGTAATAGATTATGGTTTCTATAAATTTTAAAAATAGTTCTACGCTATATAAATATATTACTGTTACAATGGAGTCTTCTATTCTTGTAATAAACAACTATGCAAAACAAAACTATATGAAACATACAACTAACAATAAAATACTATTTCTTATAAGTTTAAAAACAGTTATAAATTGGAAAACCAGACTACTGCTTCGAAATATTAGTCTTAACTAATTATTGACAACTGTGGCAACAAAACTGTATTTTTACGTGAAACGGACTACTAATAAAAGATTACCATTTCTCACAACTATAAAAACAGTTCTACCCTCAATTCATAGACTACTGTTACAAAAGAGTCTTCTATTCCCATTAAAAACAACGGTGGCAAAAAACCATATGAAACAGACAACTAGTAATAGATAACTGTTTTTAATAAGTTTAAAAACAGTTCTAGACTAAAACGTCAGACTACCGTTTAAATAGAGTATTCTTAACTTGTTATTGACAACTGTTGTAACAAAAATTGTATTTCGAACTGACATAGACAACTAGTGATATATTACCATTTCTCGAAACTTTAAAAATAGTTTTAAAGCATAGTAGCTAAACTACTATTCTGTAGCCAAGAAAAACTCACAGTAGTCTGTTTTTTTAACTACTGTGTTTCCATAAACAGTAGTTAAACTCACAGTCGTCTGTTTTTGGCGTAGTGATAGTTCATAAGGATGGTCGCATAGTCGCGCCTCAGTTGCGCAACATTCTATTTGTTTGTTAGTTGTCCGCGTGGGAGTCATTTGTCATCATTTTTTGGGTGTTCGCATGCTTGGTGAGACCCCTTCGTTCGTTGTTGTCGTAGCAAACCAAGAACCCACAGCATCCCGGGACCCACTTCCCCTTATGTAATTTTTCATAATCATTTCGTCAAAAATAGAATTTCTTGTTTCTGTTTACACCAAGAAATGTTTTAAAAGTAAAAGTATGTGAGTATAATCTATTTAAAAGAAAAAAGTTTTGAACATCACATATTTTTTTACATTTACATGAACAAGCATATGTGAATTGTTTGGAAAATCATGGGGCAGAGGGTGTGTGTGCATTTTGAGGAAATCTATTCTTACACCAATTTCTAAAGCAATCATATTTTTTCCTCAGATTGTATTTTTCTCAAATGTGATACTTAGCTTAAAAGTTAGTACGACGGAACACCAAACATGGTGATGTTTGTTGTTTCCGATCTTATTTTGGTTTTCTAATGGATGATATTATGTACGTGGTGTCTTCTTTTGATTCAGTTTCTTTTACTTTTGTTGCTTGTGAACTTAATGTTATTGCACATACGCTTGCAAGTCAAGCTGAGTTTCAGTGTAATGTTTGGGAGTCTATGCCCACTAACTTTATTTCACAATTGATTGTTAGTTAATGAAAGTTGTTTTTGCATTAAAAAAAGTTGTACTACATATATCACTCATGTAAAATTTCAGAACAATCTAATGGTCTGTTTGTGTGTATCTTGTAATTTAAAATTAACATAATCTACAACAGGGCTTGGGGATGACCTTACCCATATTCCAAGGTAGAGAGGATGTTTCTAAGAAGTCCCCTAACTCAAGCACCATAGATAATAACGTACGCAACTAATGGAGTAAATTTAGAAACTAATGGAGTGAATTTAGTGTGGAGTGAAGTTAGTGTTTGGGTGTGGTGTGACTATCAACACCCAAACTATTACTAGAGAAAAATCCATAAATAGTTCTTTTAAACAAGTGATTTTTCATATATATTCCTCACTTCTAAGATATTACAATCATGGTCTTCGATATTTGAGAACTATTTTATAATCAATCTTTTAGAGACAATATGTGGAAACTAGAAAGTAATACTAGGGTCAATGGACTATTTATGAAATGACAATCAAGTATACGAGACCACGAAGGGTATAAATATTAAAGACCATTATGTAATTTACTCTTATTACTACAATGCATAAAAATGTGAAAAAGACCAAGATGAATGTAATATTTACTGGAGTACGCTTTTCTGAGGTAATGAAAATCAAAAGACCACAATTTGGAGCTAGTGTTTCTGTTGCAGTTTTTCTTATAATCACTATTGGTGTCTGAATGACTAGAAAAGTGATTATAATGAAAAAAGTGATACTGATTTAGAGATCAATTATGATTGAAAGTTTGTGAATGAAATCTTGGATTTAGATATAAAGTACAATAATAGTATAAATGAGAAGGGAACTAAGATCATTTCTGAAAACATGTTTGTGATCGAATGAAATGCTTCGATTTGGATATAAAATGCATTAATAGTGTAAATGAGAAGGGAGAAGTAAGGTCATTGCTGAAAACATGTTTCGGGAGGGGAAGGGCTTGATGTTGATATATAATACTATTTGTGAAAGAGCACAACAAAGTGTGTAGGTCAATATGTCAATATGACCACAGGATCTGTTCCATAGGGTGGTACCTTCGAATCCTTTATTCTGAAGTGTGTAGGTCAATATTGATAGAAAACTACTCCTGAGTACTCATACTTTGAGAAACTAACAGCCGGTACCTCATATTTTTAAAATATACTGCAAGGTAGGTACCTTCTACTTTGAGAAACTAACCTGCTAACTCACATTTTTAAAATATATTCTGAGATACCACCAAATATACATTAACTTACTCGTGAGAGACATTCCATCTCACTCTCCATCAAAGCCCGTCACACCATTAATTTTAAGAAATATGGGTTTGGAATTCCAATAATAATCTTGGTTCTTATACTTAAAGGATACGATCTATGCAGTTTAATCGAAACTTTCGAATGAAACGGAATGTCTCTCACAGGTAAGTTAATATATATTTGGAGGTATCCCGGGGTATATATTAAAAATATGAGTTACACAAAAGTTTATTTTAAAAATATGAGGCACCTGGCAATTAGTTTTTTAAAATATGATGTACTCAGGGGCAGTTTAGTGCAATATTGATCTAAGGACAGCCTGGGGGGCCCATGAGCCAAAGTTTTAGGATTTATACCGTGTATGTGTATTTAGAAGGTGGTGTATGTGAGATTTATGTGCAATGTCAATAGGATGATCCGTGGTTCAAAAAATTGATTGTTTCTACGTCCTACTCCCCCACCACTATCTAAAACCCCTCCCTTACACCCCCATGTATAAATAGATCACGAAACTCTTTGAAATGACACATGTATTTATTTTAATCATTTGAAAACTTAATCTATCTTAATTTCTTTTCTATCAAAATATTAATATCATGTTAACTGTAAAATAAGTAATAATCTATCACCTCCCAAAATTTTGCTCGGCCTACTATCTTGCAGGTCTTATAGAAAGTGTTTACAATATCAAAGTCAATTACTTTGATAAAGTATCACTTTCGGTCCAGGAGTTGATCAACAATGTGGTGAACAAACAAAAGGATAAAAAAAGAATGAAAAAGTTGGTTCACTCAAAAGGGCACTCAAATGGGTGGGCAGCAAAAGCCAACAATGGGTTGAGCAAAGAGGGCGACTGCCCTTATGTTGGCATGGCCAAAAATGTAGACCCAAACGACATGTACATTTTTTATTCTAAGATGAATCAAAACAACATTCGACAGGTACATTTGGTGTTTTGATTCATCTTGAAATAAAAAATGTACCTGTCGTTTGGGTTTACATTTTTGGGCCATGCCCTCTTAGCCCAACCCATTGCTGCTCACCCATTTAAGTGCCTTTTGAGTGAACCAACTTTTTCATTCTTTTTTTATCCTTTTGTTTGTCTACCGCACAGTTGCTCAACTCCTAGACCGAAAGTGATACTTTATCAAAATAATTGACTTTGATATTGTAAACACTTTCTATAAGACCTGCAAGATAGTAGGCCGAGCAAAATTCTAGGAGGTGATAGATTATTACTTATCTTACAGTTAACATGATATCAATATCATAATAGAAAAGAAATTAAGATAGATTAAATTTTCAAATAATTAAAATAAATACATGTGTTGTTTCAAAGAGTTTCGTGATCTATTTATACATGGGATAGGGGAGGGATTTTAGGTAATGGTGGGGGAAGTAGGACGTAAGAACAATCAATTTTTTGAACCACGGATCATCTTATTGACATTACACATAAATCTCACATAAACCACCTCCTAAATACACATTCACAGAATAAAACCTAAAACTTAGGCTCATGGAGCCCCCTCCAAGCCGTCCTTAGATCAATTTTGCACGAAACGGCCCTGAGTACATCCTATTTTAAAAAACTAATTGTCGGGTGCCTCATATTTTTAAAATAAACTTTTGAGTAACTCATATTTATAAAATATACTCCGGGTTACCTTCAAATATATATTAACTTACCTGTGAGAGACATTCCGTTCCATTCGAAAGTTTCGATTAAACTGCATAGATCGTATCCTTTAAGTAAAAGAACCAAGATTATTATTGGAATTCCAAACCCCTATTTCTTAAAATTAATGGCGTGACAGACTTTGACAGAGAGTGAATGGAATAACCTTTACGAGTAAGTTAATGTATATTTGGAGGTACCCCAGAATATATTTTAAAAATGTGAGCTACCAGGTTATTAGTTTCTCAAAGTAGAAGGTACGTACCACATGGTGGTCTGTGGAATTGCCTTTGGTTTCTCACTAATCGTCATCATGCCTTCTTCCTTAGGTTTTATGATTTGTGAGGAAGCTTCTCTGTTTGCCAATGCTTTTTTCAAGCTCTCAACCTATCACCACCATGTGGACATCTCATTAGCCCCGCACACAAAAGATCAACACTAAAAATTTGCATCTTATATATATGGATGTATTATACCTGTGCTTTCAGCTCTAAAACCTCACTGTTTTCTCAAAAGTGGGCAATCTCAAATTCTGGACAGCGACCAAAAAGTTTCGAATGTTCTAAAAATACTGATATGCTGGTAGAGGCTGAGAATCCCAAATGACTGATTGTGAAGGCAAGTGATTATCTACAACCTAACAAGAATAAGAACAGTTCAGAACCCAGAGTTAATTTATCTAAAATATATTTATTTTGACACATAAAAACAAATTTACCTTTGGAACTGATCCGGGCTGGACCTTGTTTATCAATCCATTTCTCAAGGAGAATTTCATTACAATATTTATAGCGATTATTGTAGCATTTCAAGCAAATTAAAAAAATATTTAAAATTTTCTCTAGAAAGTTATAAGCATTATAATATAGTTCAAACATAATACTGTCTTTAAAACTTTTGCTCATCAGGTCATTTCATTAACTCAATATTGACATCCACAATTTGTTGTGCTCTTTCACAAATAGTCATATCAACGTCTAGTTTTTCCCCTCCGTAAACATGTTTTTAATATAAACCTTACTTTCCCTTCTTATATATAAATGAGATTGTATTCTTTTGGTCTAAATTGTTTATTATACCCAACAAAGTCATAAAAAGGGTTCATGATATTTACAGGAATTTCCTTTGGACTACCTCATCAAACTACAAAAGATGTCATCTTATAGCCTAGGACGATGTTTCAGGAAGTAAAGGTGGATTAGGGTGGAAGAATTTGGTTTACTAAAACAAAGATAATGCCATGAAGCTACTTTGGGACATTGCCAATAAAAAAGATATTCCTTGAGTAAAATGGGTTGACAGTATGTATCTTAAGCAAGATACTATTAGGCAATATAAAAGTATTTGGCAATATAAAAACAGAGGTGACTGGAAAAAACTTCTGAAGGTGATAGATGAATTCAAGAATATGCATGTAGTATGAGTGAAGAAAACGTGTACCTACTCTTACATACCTGCATATTTGCTTCAAGGACTCTAGGGGAAGTTTCTACATGGACTGGTATGGATATTAATGCACAATCTGTGAGGGATGGAAACGAAAGTGAAGACCAATAAGAACACAAAAGAGAAGTTGAAGCCTGCCCTCAATATTGCTTGCTGCTATACAATCAGGAGAGCTAGAAAGAACAAGGCCCATGGCGAAAAAAGAGATTCCGAAAGAGCGTGTTGATTACATTAAATATCAAATCTATACTTTTGTTTAGCCCAAGTACAATAGAAAGTAAGGTGTAGAAATCCGGTTTGGAGTTTGTAGTTTTTTCACTTTTTTAATTATTATGTTTTTGTAAAACCCTTGTTTTTCTAAAAAAGCTGCACTTTGTTCAAAAAAATAATAACAGGAAAGTACTATGCATGACACAGCGTGGAGGAAGTTAAAAAAAGGTATACCCCACCCTAGGGATCCCCCACACCCCTGCCCTAGGGTAAGTGGGCGAGGTAAATTGCAGGATATACTCAACTCAGTGTCTTAACATAGCCACAACTTGTTTCATCATACAAGGTATTCAATTCAAAACTCTTGCATGGAGCAAGAATCCATCCCCTGCAATGCATGTGGCAAACAAGGTTGTCATAACAACACTTTGGGTCTCTACCAACAGAGCCTCGAGAAAGTAAAAAAATTAGAGAAGAATGTTTGACCATATAAATAGTAAAATAGAAATTTATTTAAGGAGAAAGAGAGTGCACATTGATTAACAAATCCATGAATTCTACAATATTGCTCTGTATTTCAAATTAATGAGCATTATAGTCATCCAATTTTTATAATTCGAATTTTGGTCCGGCAATTCAATCAGCAAGTTTATTCAAATCGATGGATCGGTTCAATTTTTTTAAATATTTCTCTAATTAATTTTATACTAATAGTTTTTTGAAATTTTTACTAATATATCACCTTGATCCTAATATCAACTTCCCAGTTTGAATTTCGTGATCAATTTTTGAACTTTGGCCGCATGTTAAGGAAAAAATACATTGAATTTGCATATAAATTTATATTATATATATATATATATATATATATATATATATTAATGGCTAAAGTATTGCATTGGAAATCGTGAAAAGTGAAATAGACGTTAATTTTAGGACGAAGGTCGTATAATGTTTCAATAATTTACCAAGTACCAAGTGCATAATTTATGAGATGGTTCAATCGGTTCTGAGCAAGTACCAAGTGCTCTCGGAGTCATCAATATGTGATTAAAGCATAATTTACCTAATTTACCTTCTCAGAGATCGGCTCATCTTTTTTTATATATTTGTTCTCTTATGTTAAATAATTAAGAAACACTATAGATATTTCTTCTATATTAAACAAATTGAAAAGACTGAACAAACCTATAAAAAAAGTGATATCAGTTTTACATCTTCATCAAACTTCAGGCTTATGGATTGTATCTACAACTTACAATCATTCATGTTAATAGGAAATCCAACATATCATACAAATATAGTGAAACGAATAACTGTAATTAAGCATAAACTAAACGAATCACACAATGAAACAACTGTGAAAAAAAGAGGTAAAGACTTCAAAGCAAATCACAATCGAAAAGAGAAAATAAGATTTAATTGACATAATAACCTGTGCTTACATCTTCTGCGTGGATCGGACACAGAGATGCGACGTCTGCGGCTACTTCTTCCGCTACATCTTCGTGGATCTGAGAAAGAGCAGCAGAAGCGTGGATCTGAGAGAGAGCTGATGAGATAAGGTCGTAGATCCAAAGAAGAAGAGGATAGAATTTGAGGATGAAAACTTAGAGAGATGGGTGCCAGCTGTTATGCAAGGAAAAAAATACGGAGTACTTAGGAGAGGGTGCCAGCTGTTTTGCTAAAAACATTGGGCGGGAAAATAGGATAGGAATTGCTTAGTTTACTAGTATCACACCCGTGTGTTGTACGGGTAATTTTATGTTATTAAATTCAGATCATTTTTCAATGATAAAAAATAAAGTGCAATAGAATATAGAGATTATATTATTTTAAGGTACAAAACATCACTGTTTTATAAATTTCAAAAGACTTGTTTAGTTGTTTATATATTACATTATTTTTACAATTTGTGAGAATATTGTCTTCATTATTAAAATTGTTTAACTTTCCTTTTTAATTATTTTCATTTTAAATTAATCACATTAGTATTATTATTATTATATTATTTCTTTATAATCATGTTTGGTAAGTTTTTAATAATTATTATTATTAAAAAAGGAATTGTATTAATACCGATTATGCGTGTTTAATGTCTCAATTTTGCTATAATCGAGTCATTATTAAAATTATTTAACTTTCCTTTTTAATTATTTCCAATTTAAATTAATGACGTTAGTATTATTATTATGTTATTCAGAAAGTTTTTAATTTTAATGTAATTGAGTCATTATTATTTTTACATTCAATGTAATTTAGTATCGTGTATTATTAATTGCCATAATTAGGTTGGCAGAGGCCGTTTTAACGTAATTTAACTTATCTAAAAAAAGAAATAGCGTGTAATATTAATTGCCAAAAAAAGAAATACTGTGTAAGATCAACTTACCATTTCCTTTTTAATTAATTCCAAATCCATACTTTATTGTTTAGTACCGTGAACTATTAATTGCCATTAATTGACATAATTAGGTCGGTGGAGGCCATTTAAACGTAATTATTTAATTTAATTTAATATTTAATTATTTAATGTAATTGAGTCATTACCATTTTAGGTGAATAATTGCCATTTTTTAATGCAATAACAAATGGGCGGGAAAACTATCTCTTGAAACCATCTCTTAATACCGAATTATTTACTTAATTATTTATTATTGTTTAACCGTGTAATATTAATTGACATCAATTGCCATAATTAGGTTGGCGGAGGCCATTATTATTATTATTAAAAAGGAACTGCATTAGTACTGAATTATTTGCCTAATTATTTATTATTGTTTAACCGTGTAATATTAATTGCTAGCAATTGCCATATTTAGGTTGGCGGAGGCCATTTTAACGTAATTATCTAATTTAATTATTTATTGTAGTTGAGTATTACCATTTTAAGTGAACAATTGCCATTTTTTATTGCAATAACAAATGGGCGGGAAAACCATGTCACGAATCCATGTCTTTTTAAATAAAGTATGGATGGAATTACCTCCTCTATTTAAAAATAATCTTCACATTTTATTCTACACAATTTTATTCTACACTTTCCAACGACATCACTGACATCTTTGGTAGCTGTGGTGGGCTCTTCCACTTTCTCCTTGGTTTAAAGTGAATTTCGGAGTCCCCCACCTTTTCACCAGCAGCTGAGACATGTTTTCCCTTGAGGCGGGGCACCACGGGGTAGTTACCTGGAAAAAAGAAACCCGCTAGTATGAACATCTTACCCGTATGCAGATTCTCATAATCAATCAAATTATCCTCTATCATGTCCTTAAAGGCCTTGTCAACCCAAGAAGATTTGGAAAAAGGGGTCGGGTCAGATTCGAGTGGAGTACCACGGGGGGTCCAAGGGGCATGTGCTCGGAGAATTCTATAATGAAGAATTTCATCGCCTACTTTTCTATCTTTCCCTCCAGATTCTTGAATGTAGGGCGAGCTTTGTTGGGGTAGACCTTGAAGTAGGGAAATGTACCCCCAATGCTCAATAGAAGGAGGAAGTCATCCTTGGTAGGAATTCTACTCTGATCATGGCAGCGTAGGGTGTAAGAAGCGAGATACTTGTGGGCTTGGTCGTGAAATGCCGGGAGGAACTTTCCAAGTATTGCAAATCTCCCGGATAAATGGATGGAGTGGCAATATGAGGCCATTAAGGATAGAATCGTAGTGCATCACTAGGAAGCGGCATGGTTCAGAATTGAAGGCAAGACTTACGCCCACCACAGGATAGAATCGTAGTGAACCTTAAATGGGTCGCTGAGGAAATCACACGTGAGGGAGAGCTGTTAATTCGTGCTTGGGGAGGAATCTGATTGCCATTGCTCAGGGCTAATAGTCTTAGAAGACATTATGAGTGAGTTTGAGAGGAATGGGAGACGGGAATTGAAAATCATTGGGGAGTTGGAAAAAAATTTGAGAACGATGGAGGAGATGGCCGAAATGATTTAGGGCATATGTTTATAGACGTTACGTCGCGAAACCCGAGATAGTGGAATTGATGTCATTTCCACTTCAACACGAGGATCAAAGGCGGCTCATCATTAATTTCTTAGTAACGTGTCACTAGAGAAAATAGGGGGTTTGTGATGGATATCGAGCTGACGGAGCAAGCCAAGAAGGCCTAAGCGTGCTATTCCAAAGCCCAACGCGGATAAGGGGCCTGATTCGCGTCGTCTAGACCCGAGGACTGAATAAGATCATGGGCGGAGCCCAACTCATTGGGCTAGAACAGAAGATATGCGTGGATCGCAATTCCCTTGATCGTGAGGATTTGGGAATGATTGATGACGGATTTCTCACCCACCGTTGAAGCATGATTAGCCAATCTTTCGTATAATAAAACACACGAGCGACATACCATGTGCACAATAGTATTAGACTATAAATAGGAGATTAATCGTTCATTACAAGTCAAGTTGAATGAAGCGAATACAAATATACAAAGAGCTATATTTTCTTACAATCTTGTCTTCTATTATGTATAAGTTCTTCTTAAGAAATATTTATGTAGCATATATGAAGGTCTACCGTGGACATCATTAATCTTAAGTGCATACAAAAATCTGCTTAAAATATGTTATTTCAAAAGGAAAAAAACTCTTACTTTGACGAGTCGTTTAGATAGGGTTAAAATTCAGTTGGCCTTGACTAATTTATGACGGATAATTTCAGGTTTGATCAGCAAAACTTTTCGCCGTACAATTGTTATATTTTTTAGGAGAATTTTAGATAAAAAATAGGTCGAACCAATATTTATATGGGTCAAGTTATAGCCACTTTCAAAGTCTCCCCATTGTGAACCGGAGAAAAGGAATTGGGTAAGAAGCAAGGAAGGAGCCAAAAGAAGACAGTCTGGCTCGTTTTTCTAGCATAACTCCAAACTCCATGTTCCTCTTTAAAACACAAAATGACAAACCGAGTAACGACAACAACTGCTCTCTCACGTTTTGTCCACTACGTACCCATCCAATCCCACTAAACAAAGTTTAGACTAACTCTCCCTTCAAACGTGATAACTCACACAACTCCCAACTTAAAATTCAAAAAAAAAAAAAAAGAAGTCTGAGTATATATAAAGAGACAAACGACTCAATCTCCCTTAAGCTTCTCCCGATTCCTCTCCAGAAATCAAATCCCCACCTTTTCCTCCGCCATCTTCAATATCAAATATTAAAATGTTTGTGCAGGACGATGGATCGTCATCGGTGACGTCGGCGTCGCCGCAGCAAGCTCTCCCGGCGACATCGGTATCCCCGGGCGGCTTCGGACTGCCCTGGCTGAAAGAGCTGAAACCGGAGGAGAGGGGACTCTGCCTCATCCACCTCCTCCTTGCGTGCGCCAACCAGGTGGCCGCCGGCGGCCTCGAGAACGCCAACCTAGTGCTCGACCAGATTTCTCAGCTGGCCTCTCCCGACGGCGACACCATGCAGCGCATCGCCGCCTACTTCGCCGAAGCCCTTGCAGACCGGATTCTCCGGTCGTGGCCCGGTCTCTACAAGGCCCTCCGCTCCACCCGATTGCCCGCCCTTTCCGATCAGATGACGGCCAAAAAAACTCTTTTCGAGATTCTCCCCTTCTTGAAGGTAAATTTATACGTTAATTATTTACCATTGAAATTGCTCGAAGCTTTAATTTTGTACTCCATATTGTACTAGATTTATTAATTATTGTAAGTTCTAGGTTTGACTATGCTTTTTTAGGCTGATTTGTACTAACAGTACTTGGAGTACTAATTTTGGTGTTGTAATTAAATCCTTGGGCTATAATTTTTTGGCTTTCACTTTGATGCCGTAGTGCTGAATCTAGAAATGATGGGAGTTTAAATTTCGTGGTTGCTTGCTTGCAGGTGGCTTTCATGGTGACAAACCAAGCAATAATGGAAGCCATGGAAGGGGAGAAGCTGGTTCACATCATAGACCTGAACGCGGAGGAGCCAACCCAGTGGCGGCAGCTGCTCCACGACTTGAGTGGACGCCCCGAAGGGCCACCCCACCTGCGCATAACCGGCGTCCACCACCACCGGCAAGTGCTGGACCACATGGCCCGCGTGCTCACCGCCGAAGCGGAGATGCTCGACATCCCATTCCAATTCACTCCCATCCTCACCAAGCTCGAAGACTTGGACTTCCACAAACTCCGCGTCAAAACCGGGGAGGCTCTCGCCATCACCTCCACCCTGCAACTCCACTCCCTCCTCACACACAACGACGAACTCACGACGAATTCCCAGGCCGGGTTCCTCTCCAAGAATCTGGGAGTGGGAGATTCTCTCGAGAACGACTCGGCCTCGAGTAGTAGCAAGGTGAAGGGGTTTCTCAGCTCTCTGTGGGGCCTATCCCCGAAGATCGTAACGGTCACGGAGCAAGAGAGCAACCACAACGGCCAAACGCTGACGGAGCGGATGTCGGAGTCGCTGTACTACTACGCAGCGTGGTTCGACTGCCTGGAGTCGACGCTGGCGAGGGCATCGCCGGAGAGACAGAGGGTGGAGAAGGCGGTGTTAGGGGAGGAGATAAAGAACATAGTGGCGTGCGAGGGGGCAGAGAGGAAGGAGAGGCACGAGAGGCTGGAGAGGTGGTTTTGGAGGCTGGGTTCGGTGGGGTTCCGGAATGTGGGGCTGAGTTACTACTCGATGCTGCAGGCGAAGAGGTTCTTGGGGAGTTTCAGGTGCGGGGAGGAAGGGTTTAATGTGAGGGAGGAGAATGGGTGTTTGGTGATATGTTGGCATGATAGAGCCCTCTTCTCTGTATCTGCTTGGAGTTGCAGGAAATGAATTGTCATTCTTCCTTCAATTCCTAGCTGAATTGATTAAATTTAATAGCCTGAGAACATGTACTACTGTAGTTCAAGACTTGGTTCATCGGACCAAACCAACACCGCTAATTCACCAACCATCACAGTGGTTTATGTCTTTGTTTTGTAGTCATTGTGACTTCTCGACACATTGGTCCGTCAACCAAGTTTATACGAAGTATTAGTCATTTTACTTCTCTCCCCTCCTTTTTTTAAAGCTACATTGTATAACTCATAAATATATCTACACTAGTATTTTGACCCATGCTAAGCTCGGTTCGAATGAAATTTTTGTCGATTCAAAAGATGTTTTTCAATGTAATATTTTTTCTGGATTAATTTTTTTGTCTAACATGAGTTTTTATTATGAACGAACATTTTTAAAAAGTATATTTGAACGACTATTTCATCACATGTAATATAAAACAATAGTTTCGAGAAAATAATGATAATCCTATTCATTTCTATGACCGAATAAATGTTATTTCTTCCATGAAATGTAAAATGGGCCACGGAGCATGAGAATTTAACTCAACTAAAAAGAAGCATCTGCCGGCAAGTATCAACATGGTATAGGAGATTGAAGATCAAAATATGGATGCAAAGACTAATCATTACAGTCTCTTTTGTGCATGACACTCCAACTGAGGATATAATTCAAGAACCATCACCTGACTACCAAAAACTTAGCAAGCCTGAGCATAAACTCAAAGCTGCTCCTGTGCAACGTAATGCTTGGTTGCTTCGTCTAATTAGCATTTGCACTGCAAGTTTTCTTGAGGCCCTGCTCTGGAAAGGCTTGAAACATGCATAACAGAAGCTGAAAATACAAATACATTAAAGAAGACATTTAATACAAACCCAAAAAATCATCCAAAATGTGAGGACCTTCTTTCTAACCCCAAAGGAAGGGCAGCGTGTACTTACAACGATTAGTGTTGGCCTTTAGAATATTTGACAATTCATTAATGTATAAAACAATTTGATGCTCACATGCTAAAAAGAAACATTAGAGAATGCAAGTTTTTTCTCATACCTAGACAAGTATGTGATTAAATTAGTATAGTGCATGATGCTTAATCTCCTACTAAAGTGAATTTTTTTATGAAACTTATGAACTCATATTCAGAACTGAGAGAAATTCATTTTATTGCCATTTAAGGAAGAGGAATGCTTTTTTATGAAATAGCATGGGGATACAGTTTTTAAATATATTCCAAGCATAGAGTGAGTTCAATATTGTACCTATGACATGAAGTAAAGCTTCCCAAATAAAGTTTGCTGCACCGAGCATTCAATGATGGCTGCATTCCAGCTTTAGCAGTTCTTAAAGTCTGCTGCTTCATAACCTCATGTATAGGCAGGCAACCTTGGCCATTCATCTCATCAAACTCGTCAATACAAACAACACCTCTATCAACAAGAACCGTGACATCAATCTCCAGTCTTCTTTCTCCTGTTCTATGTTCTAACTAAAAACAATGCCAATTTTCAGTGAGAGTGTGAAAATGGCACCACAAATTGCTCCTATTAACCTCTGATTCATGGCACCACCAATTGCTCAAAAGTCCAATCTCACCGTAACAACCTTACCTTCTTCAAATAACCCAACGTAAACTTGAAAGCATTCATCTAGTTCAAGAGACAAATATGTCTAAGATCTTTTTATACTGAGTAAATTACTCATAAAAACTTAAATTAGAAACCAATGCTCGTTTTCAACAAAATGCTCATAAAGAAAATTGCCATCATTTAGTGTTATGTACACTAAAATGATTATTATTATAAGTGAAGGAAGCTCACATATACATCCAGTTGTTGAACAACTTCAGCATCCTCCACTCTAGACATTGTCCTAACCCCAAAGGAGTGTAGATACTAGAATTGCACACTAATTTAGGTAAAAAAAAGTGCATACAAATTTTGGGAAAAAACAATTTCAATCCTAAGTTAGGTAAAAAAGAATCATACGAATTTAGGAAAAAACGTATTTTCAAATGATTTTTTCTAAAATTGCATATGAATTTAGGAATAAAAAACAAACCAATTTCTAACATGGAATTGCATGTGAATTTGGGGGGGGGGGGGGGGNAAAAAAACAATTTCAATCCTAATTTAGGTAAAAAAGAATCATATGAATTTAGGAAAAAACGTAATTTCAAATGATTTTTTCTAAAATTGCATATGAATTTAGGAATAAAAAACAAACCAATTTCTAACATGAAATTGCATGTGAATTTAGGGGGAAAATTTCATTAAAATTTGGAGAAAATGCAAATTTGGGAGGGGTTAGCATGAATTTCTGCATAAAAATAAATTAATTTAAAACGAATAGCTTCCAGATCTGCTAGTGGGTTTTTTCGGTTGAGCAAGAAACACCAAATATAAACCCTAAGAATTCAGAAAAAACAAATCAATTAAAGCTTACCAATTAAGCCGTTCAACGACTTGAATGAAGGAAAAACTATCTGAATTTTAGAAGGACATGAGAATATCATGAAATTACCTTGTATTCAAGCTTCCCATATTTGGCTCACAAACTTAAAATTTGCCTTACTTCCTTCTATAATAGTGAAGATTTCTCAAAAGAATCAACGAAGCTAGATTTTTTTGTTGTTGGAGAACGAAAGATACAGGAGAGTAGAATGAAAGCTCCGTTTTTTTACGATTTCATCGGCTAGAAGAAAAGAGATGGGGAGTAGAAGGAAGACTATTTCTTTCGGCTTCATGACTAGGGATGGGCGCGGTCGCGCGGAAGTACCAGCTATTATTTAAAGGGATGGGTACTGGTACGGGATAACTCCAAAAACCATTTGGTACCATTTCGTTTTGAAATGAAATGGTACAATACCATACCCATGCTCAAATCGTGCCAAAAAAATGAACGTACATTCCGTAAAAAATATTGAATTTAATGTATAAATATATACTCCGTATAAAAAAGCACAAGAATGTTAAATAAAAGTATTGATCTCGAATTTAAACGAAACATAAACATAAAGAAGTAAAAGATAACGAGTCCAAAGTTAAAAAATAATTTTTTTTCCAATTCATATTGATGGGTATTAACCCATTGATACCGCCCGGTAGGTCTGACCGACTGGGAGGTACCAAATGTGACGCCGCCTGACCTATTCAACCCGGGCTGTCTGACCGGTCAGAATGAGTAGGTCGGGAGGCAAAGATGCAGCTTCTATTCTCAAAGTCTTACTAAGGAACCGATCGGTGAACTGACCGGCTGGATAATCAGAGACGTGCTTGACGTGCTTAGGATTTTTATAAATACCCCTAAAAGCCTCATTTGTGAGGCATGCTTTAATTAATCCACACAGCTTGTATTTTGTAATAGCTCATATTATCATAACAAACCAGGTTACAGGTGTTTCCAACTACAACCCTTTCGATTACTTATACTTAACATTTGCACGGTAATTTACACCATCACATATAATATCGGAATACTAATAACTACTTCCTCCGTCCTAAAAAGATTTACACCTTTCAAAAAAATTGCGTCCCACAATCTCCTACCCATTTCTATTAAAAAACCACTTTTACCCCTTACTTTTTCAAACCCTACCTATCACATCATACCTTTTTCCTTATAATCTACACATCACATCCTACTTTTACACATCAAATCAAGGTTATTTTAGGAAAGTCAACACAAAATTATTCCTCCCTTAATTTCCACTTTAGTCAAAATGGGTAACACTTTATGGGACGGATGGAGTATAAAAAAAAATAATGCCAATAGTAATAATAAATATCATAACAACAATAATATTGAGAGAGTTTAAAAATGAATAATAAAATACGAAGTACTCTATACACGATAAGATGAAGTAGACACATACTCCATAATTATTTGAGATATGTACTCTGTATATAGCGTTGGCGGTTCGGTCCGTGATAATCGGTTTTAAATATTTGTATCACGGTCCCGTCACATTTGGTATCGGTTCGGTTTCGGTTCGTGATGAAAAAAATCAATCCCGTTTGAAAATACTATAAACGGTTCGGTACCATTACGGTCCGGTACGGTACCATGCTAGTTCGGTTTTTTTGCCCACCCCTATCCATGCGCTAGAAAAGCTCCGTTTTTGTTTCCTTGATCTTTTTGGACATGTAAGGTTTGTTTATGTATCTCTTGCCATGTCATATAGTATTACTCTCTCCGTCCACAAATAAACTTCGTGTTTATTATTCACATGGTCAAACTTCATTTACTTTGTTGGCCTATTTTCGTCACCCATTTGAAAACATAATATAGTCATGTCACCTCTAATTTTGTAGATATTTAGATATAGCTTTTAGGTATGTAATTTTTATTTTTAAATTTTACACTTTTTTCCATATAAAATGATTGGAAAATAACTTCGATCAAATATCGTAACGCGCAACGAGAAGTTTATTTGTGGACGGATGGAGTATCCTTATATTATAAATGGGGAGAAAGACCAAATTAGGACTAAAACATTGAAAATATATCAAAATAAGATTTTCATATTTTTATTTTCAAGATAAGACTCAAAATAAATTTACATTACCAAAAATAATCATGTACATTACTAAAACGTATAGTTATAAACATAATAGTTGTAATAATGATAATAATGAAGATAATATTAACGATTCTACTATTAAAAACAATAATAATAACAATATAATAATAATCATATTATCATTTTTAGAGTATTGTTTGAGAGTAGAAATAGTTTGAAGAAAAATAAATAGTTAGAAAAAAAAGTAGAAGAAACTGGAACTTAAAGATTTAAGTTGTGCATGCTCTCTAATTATATATTGACACAATGAAGTCCAAATAAGTGTTATTTTACCCCCTTTTACTTTTTTTTTATTGTAGTTACTATGAATGTGTCAAGTCACTCGATTGTTCACAATTCAAACTGTATAAGATTTATTTTATTTTATTTTTGCTTATCATTTGAAAAATAACATTATCTTTATCACTTTTCTTATAAATTTTTAATATAGTTTTCAAATTTTAAATTTTATTTTCATTTCTACACTACTTTAAATTTAATTATCTTAAAAATAATATCATTGAGACTTGGATATACTATAACTTTTGTGGGATTAAAATAATTTGGTTAATTTCCGTCATTAAGAATTGGAAAAATTCTCTCAAATAATCCCACCTTTTCGCGCTCTTTCAAAAATAATCCTACTTTTCACTGTCATCGAAAATAATCCCACCTTTTCGCATGTGTGCGATTTTGGGTCACTGTTAAAAAACTAACGGCCACTTAACGGAAGTTTTTGAAAATGCCTGTTTTTTGCAAATAAATGAAAGGTGAGATTATTTTTGAAAAATTTACTTTTTACTTTTTTAGTTTTGAATTTAAAATTAATATTTTTAAAAATATAAAAATACACTCTTGTTAGAGATTTGTCTAACGATTAACATTAAAACATCACTAAATATTTTAAATACCCAAGGCAAAGCCTCTTTTTTTATAACACAGTAAAAGTGTTGAAAACTTAATGATAAAACCCCTTTTTAAACATAACTTAATAATTTTTTTAGTGTTTAACCCATCAAGGTAAAATCTTTCTTTTAAAATAACGAATATAAGATTATCAATAAAAATTTCAGAGTGTTCATAGAAAAATTGCAATACATCAGAAAATGTAGTGAATTACGTAGTATAAAAATAAAAGTTCTATTTTAGAGAAAAAATTGTTGTGTTATTTTCACAACTACTGTAATGTTGTTTCATAAAAAATATTTTTATAGTACTCTCAAAAAATATTCATAAGTTTTGTAGTGCCATTTTTTAAAGAAATAATAATAATGTAGTATAAAAAAAACTTGAAGTGCAGCTCAAGAAAAATACAGTAAATGCAACTTACAAAACGGAGGGAATAGTTAGTTATGAAGTTAATAAATTAGCTCCATTGTGTAGAATAATTTATTTTCTAATTATTACCATATTATTGGTTATTGAAAAAAAACAATTAGTTTCACTCTAAAAACACTTAAATTTGGTATTTTTTCCAAAAAAATAAAAAAAAATACATTTAAAGAAATTAAAAAACGAAAAAGGGAGAATTTACCTAAAGCAATCCCACCTTTCATTTATTTGCGAAAAACGAGCATTTTTCAAAATTTCCGTAAGTGACCGTTAGTTTTTTAACGGCGACCCAAAACTCGCACACATATGGGAAGGTGGGATTATTTCTGATAAGAGTAAAAAGTAGGATTATTTTTGAAAGAGCACTAAAAGATAATTTTTTACCTTAAGAATTTTAGACTAGATGATGGATGATTGGATATGAACTTTAAAGTGGATACCACAAGAATTTGGTTAATTTATGTCTCGAGTTCTACACACTTTTATGGATGTTTCTTTTATACTACTCTCTTTGTCTATGTATGATCTTTCCATTATGCATTACGAGACTTGACCGACATTATTTTCAATTCAATTTAATTGATTATAGAAGTAAAATTTTAAAATAAAATTTAGATAGTAATAAACTACCTGAAAAGTTCTACAAAACTAGAGGTGACAAGACTATATTATTTTATGAAATGACTAGTAAAATTGAGCAAACAAAGTAAGTAAAGTTTGACTCTGTGAATAATGTCTGTGAAGATCTATGGTGGACTATCAATGTTCTCCTTGCTTTTCATATTCTCTTTTTACACCACAAAATTATCAAGAGGGAATAGTCCCTATTACTCAATCTCAAGAGAGTCCCACAAATTAAAGACAGAAATACCAAGTGCAATTAATAGGGATCGGCCAAGGCCCAATGCAGTCAAATTTGAAAAAAAATACAGGACATAAGAACTGAACCCCACTTCTTCCCCTGCTTAATAGCCAGAAATAGAGGCATTTAATACTGGAAACCAATGCAGTTAAATGGTTGGGAGGAGGGGATAAATAAGTGGATAAAAATGGGGAGGAGGAGAAGATGGGTAAATAATAATAATAGTAAAAAGAGGGTGAAAAAAGGGAGTCTAAGGGCATTTGGGGCCTCCTCTCTTGGTCTTCCAGTTATTGTAACAGGGGCAGCTTTGCTTGTTGCCATAAGTCCCCGCAGGCACACACAGACACTTATTACAACACTTGTTGCAGAAGAAGAGACACGGCTTCTTGTACGCCGTCTTCGAGCACCTGTACACGCACCTCGGCGAACAGTCTGCATTTTCCCACCCGGGGGCCGTTAGTTCATTAATTTATGGAAAAAGCTAGCGGTACCTAATTTTTGTACCCCAACTTGCACGCCAGTCCATCACAAACAACCATTGTTTCAGACAATGATTGTCGGTGTAGTGTGTCTATGATACACTAGTATGCAAGTTGGGATATAAAGTTTCAGGTACACCTAGCACACCTCCTAATTTATTTATTTGAAAACACTTGGGCATAAAATCCAAATTTATTCATGTGTAACTATAAATAATGTCATTCGATTCCTACCTTGTGGGTGCAGCTTGCCTTCGCTTATACCATACTGCAAGAGATATATCAATCAATGTTAGTAGAAAGTGAAATTTGCACTGAATATGACTAAAACAAGTCATTTCCCGGTGTAGAACTTAAACTTTTTTATTCTCTAAATCGGACTTAATAATGACTAGTGAAAAGAATAACGTCCAAGTGATGCTAGACATTTAATTGAATAATGACTAATAGATAATTACCAATGATCCTAAATTGGGAAATAAAAACATATGGTTCTATATTGAGAAAGTCATATTATGTTTTAGTTTTATTGAGGTAAATTACTCCAAATTTTTAGTTTAGTTTAATATTTTTCACTTGAAATTATAAGGAATTCAATTCACATATTTCGATCCAAATATTGATTCAAAACTTTTTTTTTCCCGTACAAGCTTCAAAAAGTAAAGATCTGAGAAAAAAACGTAAAACAATTTTAGAAAAGTCAACGGAGAGGGAGAGAACAAAATTATGTGACCGTTGTTGTTGGAGTAACTCTTTTTTCATCACTCCAACTACTGGACATCTGGATTTAATTGCCCAATTAAAAATAAAAAGTACGGCTTCAAAATTACAGTGCTTAAAAAATAAAATTGACGGAATATTTTAGGATAGTGTAATAAAAATTGTTATAGATCACATATTTTTCTCTAAAGAAAAGCAACAAAAATATGAACTTTATTTTAAAATATTAGAAAAAGGAAAGCATTATTTAAATTTTAGAAGAGCTTAAGTAAAATGGTAAGGATACACCATTTTGTACCCATTTTGAAAAATTAGAAAAAGTTAAGTGAATGTTACAACAACAACCTTCGGGGTAAGTAATTATTGTTAATTTCATTCAACTAAAATGGGTAAATGACGGAAATATGTAAAAAAAAAATTAAAACAGTAAAAATCGAAAAAAATAATTAAAGATTACCATGCTGTCATCGCCGAGTGGTTGCAGAGTAGATGAATGTGCAGACACTGAAGCCTGTAATTAGTTAAGATTAGTAAGATCCAGCCAGGACTCATCATCAGATGGCATCATTATATTTCTCTGATATAGCTAGTGTACGTTTTTATAATGTTTTTTTTCGCAAATTCATCTGTTCATATTTGGCGATATGAGATAGATTTAACAGATCTAAGGGTCCGTTTGGTATACGGAATTGACAGAATTGGAATTGAATTGGAATTGAAATTCCATGAGATTCAATTCCATAGAATTGAATTCTGTCAATTCCAATTCATTTTTTGCACTATCAATTTCAAATCCACATGATTTTTGTGCTACCGAACACCAAAATTGGAATTGAAGCCCTCAATTCCAATTCCATAGTTTGAATTCCCGGGGCCTAAGTAAATATAATTTCCAAAGTAGTATATGTAGTGGATGCAATTAATTATGGGGTGGTAAATAATCAGATCTAGGGTGAGAATGTGGGAAATTTAAATAACCTGCAGATTTTGAGCTAGAAGAGCAAGGATAAAGATCACTATTGCGCACTTGAGGATGCTCGACAGAAGACCCATTTTAACTACTACTACTGAGTATTACTATATCTCCTCAAGGAATTGAAATTAAACGCAGAGATAATATATAATCAGTACTAATTAAAGAGGTTTTAATGATGGAGAATTGGTGAGAAGTGTAGCAGATGGTAAAGCTATATATATACGCACAGACACTGAGACCTAACCAGAGAGAGCAATGCTAGGGGTACACCTTGGTGTACCCCAATTGTACACTACATGCTTCTCCACCACATATCTTTATTTAGTTTTTATTTTTTTAATTTTTTTTTGAATTTCTTATCCCCCTAGCATTTTTCAACCAGAGATTCAAGGTGGTGGTGGTGGTGTACACATGTGTAGTATCCATTCTCGGCTCTCTTGTGGGCTCCACCGCATTTGGTTCTTTGCCCCCAATTCTATACTCTTCTTTTACTCCCTCCGTCCACCTAAGATCTTCTCATTACGCGTTACGAGGCTTGATCGACTTTATTTTCAATTCAATTTAATTGATTATAGTAGTAAAATTTTAAAATAAAATTTATATAGTAATAAACTACATGAAAAGTTCTACAAAACTAGATGTGACAAGGCTATATTATTTTATAAAATGACTAGTAAAAATGAGCAAACAAAGTGAGTAAAGTTTGATCATGTAAATAGTGTATGAGAAGATCTATACTTGACAGAGGGAGTAGTTTTTTACTTTTCCCATAGTGGAATTCGAACTAGTATTTATTTAACTTTTAATACTCTCTCCCTCCTATAATGTTCTTCTCACTCACTTTTTACACGGTCAAATATTAATTATTTTCTTTACTTATTTTCATTGGCTATTTGATAAAATAATATAGTCTTGTCACCACTTGTTTTGTAAAACTTTAAATGTAGTTTTTAAATATATAAATTTTATTTTTTAATTTTACACCTGCAATCAAATAAATTGAATTGAAAATAAAGTCGGTCAAACTTCGTAAAATGAACCGGGAAGAACATTATAGGACGGAGAGAGTATTTAATATCAAAAAAATCTCAAATGGAGGGCTGACGAGTACTTGAAGGGCTACTTATGAACTTTTTAAACTTGAAGGACCAATCGTACATAACTCATAAAGTTGAAGGACTACTCATGAACTTTTGAAACCTCAAGGACCAATCATGCACAATTCATAAAATTGAAGGACCAATGATGGATTTTAGCCTATTTTTTCGCATATCGAGGTAAAAATAAGGATGTACAAAATTTGGGTCGGACAAAAAAATCAAACTGGAAAGACTGGTTCAGGGTTAGACAGGTAAAATTCCATATCAGATTTCTCTGATCCAAAGATTAAAGACCAGTAAAATTCCGGTAGAATCCGGACAAAGACCGCGTAGTTTCCAGGTCGGACCGGCAAGACCAGAATGTAATTCAGAAAATTACTCGCGGGTGACGCGAGTTTTGTCGAAATAACTTTCAGGTCCCTCTATTTTCAAAAAGACAACCGAGGTCCTTATATTTTGTTGTAATGACTGGGAGGGGACATTTCATCCAATACATCATCCGTAAGTGTTAATAAATGTATTTTTTTTCCTATTTTTCCAATACCGTTTTTTCCTATTTTGTCATTACCTTGTTTTTTCTTTTTTTAAATTTTTTTTATTTCATTTGTTTTAATATAATACAAACAATTTTGAATTTTTATACGATTTTATAAAAGAAATTCTAAAATAACACTTTAAAAAATAGTAACAAAATGAAAGAAAAACAAAGAAATAAAAAAAGGAGCGACCTAAGATTTATTACCTTAAAACATTTAGAAAAGAATAGGAAAAAAATACATTTATTAACGTTTATAGATGAAATATTGGATGAAATGTCTCCTTCCAATCATTACAACAAAATGTAAGGACCTCTGCTGTATTCTTGAAAATAGAGGGACCTGAGAGTTATTTCAACAAAACTCGCGTGACCCGTGAGTAATTTTCTGAATGTAATTGGGAAAAAGACTAAAATATGAGTAAACATTAAAAATATATCAATATATGAGTTCCATGTTTTTATTTTTGAAATAAGAGTTAAAATTAGTTTACATTACATATCATGATCATGTACATTACCAAAAACTATAATAAAATGCATATGTACAATGTCACATTACCACAATGTAAACTTCTATTTAGTAAAAAAACATGGAATTTATATTTTGGTACTTTCTCTATGTTTTACTTCTATTTAGAGCAATTTCGTAATGTAATTATTCTACTTTGTTTTTCATTTTTAGTACCTATGATATTTGATTATAAATGAAACTTTGTTTTCATTTTCCGTTTTACTTTAGTATATAGTCTTTTAAATATAATATATACTCCATCCGTCCAAAAATTTTTGGTACCACCCGTTGCGCGTTACGATGTTTGACTGAAATTATTTTCAAAGCATTTTATAAGAAAATCGGTGTTGAATTTAAAAATAAAAACTACACATTTAAAATTTACATCAAAAGATCTACGAAACTATAAGTGACATTATTATATAGTTTTATCAAATTGACAACGAAAACAGATAAACAAAGTAAATAAAGTTTGACTCTATAAATAGTGAATGAGAGGATAAATTTTGGATGGGTAGAGTATTATTTTATTCATTTTCATTACTTTTTATAATTATAATCATTGACATTTAAGCAAGAATCTCCATAAAAATAAAAGTATAATTATTTCCAAAAAATGAATTATAACCTTTCGATTAGAGTTTTTAATATTTTCACGCAGTGTAACTTATTCTTGGTAAAAACGAAATACTTTAAAGTACAAATTTATAGTAATATTTTTAAAATCCTACAAACTAACGAGACAATAAAATTCATTTTTAACTTATATATCATATTGTTGATAAAGTATTTTACACTAATATATTTCTTGGAATATTCCCAATGGATAGAAAAAACAAAATTAGGGTTGAAATAAATTCAAATCATGCTACATTGTCTAAAAAAAGGCTAAAACCATTTCAGAAAAAAAATTAAATTTCTGGTTTTTTGGTCTAAAACTCAAATTCAGAATGGAAAAACTAGTTTGGACCATAATTTTTCAGTTTGATTTCGAACTAGTGTTCACCTCAGGTCAAAGCTTACGTATAAATTTTGACAAAAAATTAAATGGAAAGATTAAATCCGGATGAAGGGCGTATTTTCTTGGATCTCTTACTAGTATTATCTATTTTTCTTCGAATTTCTTCCCAATTATTTCTGAATTCATGGACACTAAAAAACGTGTTTAAAGATGTTCAAGAGTGAAAATTAGTTAGAAGAGAGGCCACATATTCTTTTTCAAAATTGGGTAGAAAAAAGTAAGAAAAAAAATACTTTCTAAGAGTTCCATGTTTTTACTCCCAAAATAGGAGTTAAAATGTATTTACATTACCAATCATGCTCATGTACATTACGTAAAATGCACATGTACAGTGTCACATTACCACAGTGCTATTCAATTTTAAAGTACCAAGTATCAAAACTCAAGGCTTGGCTATGATATATATAGTGTTAACCCAAGTTGGTTAACAAGTAAGCTAATTAATCTTAGGATCCATAATTCTATTTCTACACGAATTAGAATATCTCGATTAATCCTAATCCTACTCGATATTTAGCTAGCCAACAATCGCCCCCTAATTTTTGAGTTGGATTCTCGGTGATTTTCAACTTTAAGCATGTCGTCTTTATCTTGATTCTCGCAAGACTCTTCATGATCCCTTGTAGTGTTCTTTGGGATCCACTTAGCTTGAACAAACACTTACTTCTTGCGATCATTACACGTCCTTCCTTGGGTTAGAATCCTTTTCTTGACATCCCCTTTAAACACTTAAACATTATTCTTTGGACTTTGAATTTTGGGTTTCTCCATTAAACTTGGATCTTTGAGAAGATTCTGACTCATACTTCACGTACCTTCTTTCAGTTAATCAACTCTTTGTAGATCCCTTCTCGCAAAATTCTTCATTTTAATAATGCTAACTTGTATACTAGCACTTGTTATCTTGAGATTGATATTATACAAACGATTCTTGGTCCTTGTCACATTCATCATAAGCTTCCTTGTGTCATCGTGAATGGTTAGCCAATCGCACTTCATGAGAATGTCGCATCACCTTCCGTTGCTTGACCAAGACTTGATGTCGCTTTGTAGGCTGGGTATATAGTACACACCAGTCAATAGGCACTGCTCCCCCATTTTCCCTTCAAGTAATACAGATCCTTTTTCTCGTATGTCAATACATGATCCATCTCCAAACTTCACCTTTATCGTGACACGTTCATTAAGTTCAAAGAAGTAAGCTTGATTGCCCGTCATGTGATTCGATGCTTCGTTATCGAGATACCAAATGTCTTTCCCCTTTGGTTCAACCTCAAAACACTTTGAAATCACCCATTCTTAATTTAGAAAGATATTCTCTTGATCATGTATCATCATGAACAAAGATGGATCCAAAATATCAATTTCAACTAACATTGCTTGTTCCTGTTTCTTCATACGCTTCGGGCACACTGATGCTAAGTGACTGAATTTATCACTTCAAAAAGACTAAATTTTTGATCTATCGTTTTTACCCTGCTAAAGATCATTGGTTCTTCTTTGACCCATTCGCTTTGACCCGTGATCTTGACCATCTCGGCATTGACTTCCATCTTGGTCATCATCATCTTGGTCATCATCATCTTGGTCCTTGTCTTTTCCTCGACCTTGGTTGCATCAGCTTCATCCTCTCGAATTCGTTTTCTCCCCTTCGAGAATGAGAGCTTTCACCATTGGAGAACAATAGTTTACTTTGTTTTTCTATATCCTCTTCCTTGATTCGCTCTTCGTAGGCTTTCAATCGGCCTATGGTTTTTTGAAACCCTAGTTTGTTCAAATCAAGGACTTGCTCCAACGAAGCAACGATATGTATGTATTTCAAACAAGGAAGAGCCTTTAGAAACTTCTTTACCATCATTTTCTCTTTTATCCCTTCTCCAAGGGCTACAGACTTTGAAGTTACTTGATAACTTCTCAGCAAAATCATCAATTGACTCTGAATCATGCATCTTTAGATTATCAAATTTTGCATTTAGGGTTTGGAGACGCGCTTTTCTAACCCTCTTAGCCCCCAAGTGACG